GGGAGATCCAGCATGGGATTATGTGGAGATGTTGAAAGCGAGGAACTCCGCGAGAGGGCACCTGATGGCTTGGGGCGAGAAGCGAGCCCTGCAGGAACATCTGAAAGGGCTTACGGAGAATTCTAACTTAAATCGGAAAGAATACGGCACGGTAATGTCCTCGGAAGCGAACGAAATCGGATTGGAAAAACTGCTAGAAATTTCTTGGAGGGCGGCCCTCCAGAGATACTTTGACGAGACGATGCATGCACCTGCGACGGGGGCAGCGTACCTGGCTCATCCGTGCACGAGAACTGACCTGCAAGTACGATTGGCTTGGTGCTTGATGGGCATCAAGAAGGCGGAATATGAAGCCAGTAATGATTCGAAATCACGGGAACAGGAGCTGGAGTTGATTGAAGCTCTGCGAGCGTTGATTTCAAAAGACGATTCTGCGATAGCATGGGCTAAGCGTAAGGATGCCCTTTGCTTTGTCAGGTTCGTGGTGGATCGTATCCCCACTCCTGTTTTGGGAGAATGCATAAAGATCATTCGGCAAAAGGGAGTTGATTGCGAAAGAAACTTCCTTAGAGCACTCCTGGAACTATATCAGGATATGCCGTTGACTGTACCAAATAGGGAGTCGATTGACATGGAGAGCTATCGCAAGTTGGAAGAAGTGAAAAGATATTCCAACAAAGAATTGAAAGTTAGCCGGGAGTTGATTGAAGCAGTCAGGGGACAAAGAGACTTTGCAACCCTAGGGAAACTGAAGTCAATCCAATATGTGTCTGGCATACCGGGGATGGCGTATAATCCCTTCGTGAATGAAGAAGCCAGGGAAGCGTACTTCGACTATGAGCAAGTCATAGTGCTCAATTTCTGGGTTGAACGGATTAAAGAAAATGGAATGCTGATGGTGGAACAACCCAAGCTGGGAATTATCTTAGAAGAATGAGTGGTCGATCCCTCGGTTCCCGAGCTATAGGGGCAAGTGAAATTTGATTGTGGTTCTTGGGACGGTCCCTTGAAAACCAGTCTATTAACGATGTGGGAACTCATGAAGCCTTCTTGGTGTCCCCATCCTAACGCCGGTTTGATCTGGGACATGACGGCGGATATCACGTTAGACCTGGATGATGAAGCGAGTCTACATGATCTGGCCATGATACACCATCTGCTGGCCATGAGGTTGACGAAGCGGAAGAGCAACCCATCCACGGAGCTAGCCGAGGAAAGCCCATCGAGCAATTGGTTGAAGCAACGCACCTGTTTGGCTCATCATAGTGGGATGGAAGTACATGTTTGCAACTTGGGACACTGCCTGATTACGCTGAGCGAGCAGCATCGACAACTGGCACGATTGTACGGACGATTGAGCATGTCGGATAAGAGTGGCATGGAGTTGGTCGCGGACTGTCATGGGGTGACGGATGTAAACTTGACCACAGCCTTGGGATTTTGTAGCATGACGAGTTCGATAGGATCGCTTGAGCGCCTGGAGCGTGCCCATGAGCTAGTGACGTCCCTCAGCGTGGAAGTATTCCCTGGAGCATTGCAGACAGAGCAGAAGATTGGAGGCTGGCGAGAAGCTCTGGAGAATGAAATGAATCTGAAGGATAGTGAAGCCTATCATAAGTCTACTGGTTCAAAATATCTGGTGGGTTCAAGCTCCGCACCATATTGCAATAGTAGGTATCCTACACACATGGTGGTGATGGATGCGAGGACGCAGCAGGTGTTGATTGACCAACTTTTCTCTGTGCCAAAGTGCGTGAGGTTGGCCAGAATGTCGGAGAGGTCATATGATTTGTTGGCAAAGATCTTTCGGGCAGTCCCGAAGAAATCTGAAGGCGAGTTGCAAGAGGTAGTGGGTGAAGAGTTCCTGAGATTGAGCGAAGGTAATGTGAGCGAGTTCGAAAAGCAGAAAGCGAGTGGAGCGTTACCCACTAAATTCCCCACCATAGAAGAGAAAGACGATTTACACAGAATTCTGATGGAGGTGGAACCGTTGCTGGGAGCCTCGGGGTATCGGACCCGAAGGAACATAGTGAGAACCCATGGGGAGTATCCTTGCCACTGCTTAGCGCAGACGTTATGGTACCCCAAACGCGGAAATCGGATGCTAGTATGGGACGTGGAAGTGTTGTACTCTACGGGGTTGCCCGATTAGAATCAACAGGTGTCAATCGTGGTGGTTAGTGCCATGCTGGCAGTGAGATGGTTGGGGGCTAACGCGGACACAAGTGAACAGGAGACGGCCGTGCCGACTCCTGAGCAGCTGAGCAACGTGAAGATGAGCCGTGAATTGGATCTTTTCAGAACCACCTGCAAGGTTCTGAGAATACCCAAAGCCATTGAAAGAATATGGTCAAGGCAAAGATTGATGCCTTGGTTTCGTGCAGTGATGACATCATGGATGTATGAACGCGCGAAGCGTCACATGTCGAGGAACACGGAAGCCTATCAATCTTTCCAGCTAGATATAGGACCGGGAGCCTATAAAAGAGCATTCCTGACGCACAGAAACGCGGTTACCACGACGGTGAAGCGAGTAGCTGGAGCGTCTTGCGCAACTGAAGATGAGAAGAAAGAGGTCTTAAGAGCTGACCTAGAACGAAAAATGAGCCTATGTCTTCACAACAGCTTTTGCAGGAACCGGGAGCAAAAGGTGAATGTGGACTTGCTACCTTATTGCAAACCGAGGCTGTTGGAACAGGAGAGTTGGGGCACGGCCCGCAACTCCATGGACATGCTGGAGAAAGTCCTAGAAGACAGCGAAGCTGAAGATCAGGATGGAGAAGCAATGGAATGAAGATGATGAAACGAAGAGAACAAGTGAAGACGTGAGCAAGAAGAGAAGAGAAGGAGAAAAAACTTGATTGTCTTTGTGTGTTAAAACTTGAACCAATCAACTAAGTTTTGATTATTGAACTTGTTAAATTTTTTGTTTTGATCTAGTTTGGTCAAACCAGACTTTGCAAATTGTTGCAATTGTTGAAATTGTTGAAAGAAAGTTTTAGTTATGCTACTTATGTTTATATGGAGAACATAGGTGAGTATATTTACCTATTTAAACATGACTGAAGTTTTTAACCTGTGTAAGACACAATTTCACTGTGTGGCGACATGGTGAGTTTGGGTAAACTCGCTCGAGAAGGGTGAGTAACTCAATAACTTTCCTAGCCACAGAGTTTCGTAGTTTTAATATTGAAAGGACTGCATAAATAACTGATTATACTTGGTGAGTGACGTTAAGTTAATTTTAACGGGTGCGTGGCCGTGCCACGTCCCAACTTTTTAATCACGAAGAGCGAAAAGAAGTGGTATGGCAAGATGACGTAATTAGTCAGAAAAGAAGTTTTATCTAGGACACTCCTCATGGTGAAAATTTTGTGAAAATGTTGAAAGGCAGTGAGATGTAGTACGATGCCATTTGTGACACGTAGTGAGTTGTGGTGCAGTAGATAAATTTCATTTTCTTATGCGATTTGAGAGATTGATTACAGAGACTATAACACTACTTGACGATAACCCGGTGTTATGCGATCAATAGGGACATTGATGGAGACTTGTCCGGGGGGTATGTGCCATTCTGCCAGATTGGCACAGCGCAACCTTCCGGCGACACGAAAGAAAACGAATAAAGGCCTCAGTAACAAAAAAGTAATGCGAAGGAGGGTAGGAATATTCTAGAATTTTTACTTTTAAAATTTCGATCGAAGAGTGAATATTTCTGAGAAATACAAAAAGACGGCCATTTTGACGAAAAGGAACGAAAAAAAAAACGACAAATATTGTGGCAAACGGTCGCACAAGAGACGAGAAATACGAAGTCTCCTATTGTGGCAACAACACAAGATAAGACTCTTAGCAGTGGAAATTAGTGGAGAAGGAAGCTTCAGTGCGGAAGGAATATTCCACGGAACTCTCCCGGGCCACAAATTGGAAGAGATAAGAACGTTATTGCAGGAAGATTACGGGAGCGGAGGCTTGGTCCCCCAGAGACTGTTGCATGTGAAGGGACTATATGAAACTGACTTTATAGCTACTTAGATGTCGTGAAACTTTGAATTAACACCGGTATTATTTGATATTTTAGAATATGAGTAGTTAGGAAGAGGAAATGGTCAATCCATCTCCAATGGGTTTAATATAGAACTGTCACACAAAAACATATTAAAATAGGTTGTTCGAGCCGTGTTTTCAATAGCAATCACGTAGTCTGAGGATCCGAGACTCAGCTTTGTGGTTGTGTTCGCATGTAAACGAAAGCTGATCAAAAGTCGTTTGACTGATGGCCTAAAAACAGTAACTTTTTACTTAGCCCTGAATAGACCAGAAAATCAACTGGCAAGGTCGAGACGGTGAAAAACGAGTAGGATTAAGGTAACTGACGCCTGCCAGTCGTTCGTTAATAGGTACTTTTTCTACGCTCCGTCGCTGTGTAGTATTTGGGCGAATGTTACAATGTTGTAATATTTTATGAATTGATAGAAAACATTTGACATACACTTCTGTATTGAAATACATTAAAGTAATCGTCAATAATTGTAATAGATTTTGTTTTGTTTATTATAACTATGCGTATCTAATGATGTTATAATATTTTATGAATTGATAGAAAACATTTGACATACACTTCTGTATTGAAATACATTTCGATGTGCAAATAAAGTGTTCTTTTTTTGTCGTGTAATCATGATTAAGGATTACTGCGGGGTCGGTTTGTAACCCGTATCGAATATAAGTTTAAACACATCAACACTAATCTCCTTTTTGTCTTTATCTCCTCCATATCTAGATAATTCTAAGGGTTTTGACTGGAATATGTGATGAAGGGACCCCTGACTGTAACCTCGGTTACTATGTTACTTTTGATCTTCTGATTATATCATGAAAACCCTTTGTTTTTTAGTTTCTCTCGTTATCGTCAACCTCTTTTTATGGTGCGACCGCTCGATTTTTTTAAAATTTCAAATTATGGTTTCTCCATTTCAGATCTCTCCTGATTTGGAAAAATGGAAAAGAATATTTCGAAGAAGCGAAAGTTTGTTGCTCACGGAGTCTTCAAAGCTGAGTTGAATGAATTTTTGACGCGAGAATTGGCTGAAGATGGTTACTCAGGGGTAGAGGTCCGAGTTACACCTATCAGGACTGAAATCATTATTCTGGCTACACGAACGCAGAGCGTTCTTGGTCCTAAGGGACGCAGAATTAAGGAGCTTACTGCCCTTGTGCAGAAACGATTTGGATTCCCAGAGAACACTGTTGAGCTCTACGTTGAGCGAGTTGTCGATCGTGGACTCTGCGCTATTGCACAAGCAGAATCCTTGAGATACAAACTACTGAATGGCCTGGCAGTGCGACGAGCATGCTATGGTGTCTTGCGATTCATCATGGAGTCTGGCGCAAAGGGCGTAGAAATTGTTGTGAGCGGCAAGCTTCGAGGACAGCGTGCAAAGGCGATGAAATTCGTAGACGGATTCATGATCCATTCAGGCAGCCCAGTCCAGGATTATGTTGACTTCGCGGTACGTCACGTAGAAATGAGACAAGGAATCCTAGGAATCAAAGTGAAAGTCATGCACTCTTTCGACGAAACTGGAAAGAAGGGACCCAGAACTCGACTTCCAGACGTTATCCACATCATCGAGCCGAAGGACGAAGTCGACCCAAAAGAGCCTTGGTCTGAGAACAAGACACCGAAACCACCACAGGCACCTCAAGCGATGGCAGCACCTTTTCCGGCATAAGTTGTCACATTGAACTGGCAATATTTCTTGTTAACGAGATTGATGAATTAGCTTGTTTTCAATTGAAATATTCCGTCAAATCTTTTTCCAAGTGCTCTAAGTGCCCTATAACCGGGATAAATATATTTTTTCCAAGTGAAAACGTTACTATTGCTCGGAAACTAAATCGTTTGAGCTTATGATAGCTTGGTTTGGACCATGGCCGAACTGCTCGAGCGGTAATTATTATACTCGGCTCCATCATGTGCAAGTTATCAATACCGCAAAGCAAGTTATCTGTTACAAGGATAGCGGGTTATTGTGCATGTAGCACTGAATGTTCCGACCATAGTAAAAAAAAACGAAATAAAACGTTTTTTTTTTCAAAGTTGGTGTTTTTTTCTGCGTGGTGTGATAAAAAGATCTGAACGAAGTAGTTGGGCTTAGACTTTCGACATTTATAGGGCAATAGGAAAACAGTTTTTGTAGAAAGATGACTAAAAACCAAGGAAATCGTAATTTTTTTTCCCAAAATAGCGCTAAAAACTTTACCTTAATTGCTTTAAACTAAATTTTTACGGCTTGAATTAAGCATAAATGAGCTATTGTAAGCTCATCCTGTTAGCTCGAAGTTAGACCAGAAATCAAAAATTTCAAACCAATTTTTGTCAACTGAGCAAAGTTATTCAAATTTTTTTAATGGTCTAATCACGATTAAAAGAGCTTCAATTTGATAAGTCACTCGACCCATTCTGATGATTATTTGTGTTACCTGATTTTGCTTGGAAAACAAAAAGTTAAAAAAAAAACAAAAACAAAACACCCCAAATGCAAAGTTCCTCCCCATTTTCAATGGTTGGATCATAAAATTAGTGGAGTTGCCGTCACGTGCAAAATCAGGCTGGCATGCTCATTTTCTTGAAAGTTCAAATAAAGCTAATCAGTTCATTTTAAGTGCTATTAAATTTTTCTGTTAAGTTTAACGGATGCACGGTTTTCATCGGGTCATTTTCCGTATTTCTTCAAATGCCAACAATAATATCCAATACGGCTTTTTTGGCTGATTTTTCAAAGCCGAATTTGTTTCTGGTTGAAGCAATTTGTACTAGAGCTGAAAGTTGTTATGCATTTTGTATATGTCATTTCTGATTTCTACGCTTGAGATTAGCAAGCGTTATCAAATCGAAAGATAGACTTCTTTTTTCGGACAAACAAACGGTTAAACATAATCATTCAATAATTTGATGGCTTGATTGGTAATAAGTTGAAATTTCTGGACATCTGCCACCCACTTGGTCTTGGCGCAACGTCTTGGGTAGTTATACATTTTTTTCCAGGGAGCAAAAACTTTGTTTTGCTTAATTTTGATTTTTCATTGTTTAACTCGATTTTTTCTTAAGTTCAGTTCCTTCTCCTTTTTTATTTATTGGTTCATTCTCCTTTTTTTATTTATTGATTCTTAAATTTTTGTTTTAGCTGTGCCACTTATTTATGCTGGACGACCGGCCGACTGACTATAATTAATTCTAGAATTTATGAGAGTTTTTTTCACCGATGGTATCTTGTCTTAGTGCTTTTCGACTGAAGGTCTGTTGATTAAGTGTTCGAATGGTTAACTTCATTTATGTCGGGGCGTGGGCTTATGCGTAAATAAATGTGCTTATTCCTAATTATGCTTATGCGTGATGTGTTTTTTCTTCGAATTTCGAAAAATGATTTTTTTGAAAAAAGCAAACATTTGGGCTCATTGACACTTTTCCAACCTCTCAATCAATATGGCTCTGTCAATGTTTGCAAAAATTTATTGCTTTATGCATCTAAAAAGTTGAAGCTCACTAATTAATGAAAATGTTTGTCTATTATTGACAGTTCTGATTGTCATCATTTGTAATTTGAAAAAAAATAATTTTTTTTATCGACTTTTTTCAAAGTTCGATAGTTCAATTTGATTTTTTTCTATGTGGTAGGTGTGGAAATTATTTAAGTTTTTTCTTGGCTTTCATAACTTTTTTCTTGGCTTTCGTAAGTTTTTTCCTGGAATTAAACTCAAAACTGTCGGAATCGTACTCATGTCTAGATTCAAGCGCATTCATTGCTGCCTTGCTTTAACTGTTAGTTCATATGTGAAGTTGTGTCTGTACAAAACGTTTCCATAGAAAACAGTCATATACAAATCAGTCGGGAAAATACAAAATTGAACAAAAAACAGCCAGATACAAATCAGTCCGAAAACCAGCCCCAAGTGATAATTGTTTTTAATAGCCGGTAGGCCAAAAATTGTCCTTTGTTCAGAATAGTGACCGCCGAAATTGCGCCAGCGTGTTGCGAGCTTGCCTGCAGAGAGTTGGACAAAATTGAGCCGGTTATACCGGCGACCTTGAACCGGACTGTTTTATTTTGCTCATATCATAATTTTTAGTCTGTTTTGTATATGCACCTGTGAAATGCAAGTAGGAGTCATTCAGGCTTTTGAATCTTAGACGGTAGTAACGGTGTTTGAATCTAGTGGCATCCAGGAACTTTTTCCTTTTGTTTTTATTCTTCTTGTTTTTATTCGTTTTTGTTTTTATGTGCGATTGATTCCTGAATATGGGTTTATTTTTTAAAGGAGGCTTTACGAATCATTATCGTGCAATACAATACAACCGCCTCCCCCCTCAATTCTGGTTGCTAAGTTTTTCCAAAAGGTTTCCCTTTTGGTATAAGTTTACGGCATCCATGGTCGGCTAACCAACCTCCAAACAGTGTCTAAAATAGCTGGACTGTTTTTGTGAAAAATTTGCCTGCGGCGGAGAATTTTTTAAACAAAATAGTTCCCTGACAAACAAAGCGTATACTGGGAACCCTATGCAGTGTCATTTTTCTGCAAAACAGGTAACTATTGATAAGAAACAAAAACTGTTAGAGAAGCTTGTTGATATTATTATTTTTCTTTTAAGCATACTATGTTTTCATTTGATCTTAAGCTAAAGAGAATAATTTGACACATCTTCGCTCAATTGCATGAAAAACAATGCGTATTACTGTAATACGTTTTTAATGCAATTGCGTGAAGATGTGTCAAATTCTTCTCTTTAGCTTAAGAGATCATATGAAAACATAAAATGCTTAAAGTACTTAATTTGTTCAGAAATTTCTTAAAACTAGAAAAATAATAATACCATGAAGGTTCTCCAACACATTCTTTTTGCTATCAATAGGTACCTGTTTTACCGACAAACGACGCTGCATGCGGTTCCCAGTATTTGTTGTAATAATTAGTTTTAGGTTTTCATTGATAGCTTTTGGAAGGACACTTAAGTCTTTTTTTGGGTCTCTAAAGCTCATATAGGGTTACTCTTGCGATCAGCAAGGGTGTTGCAACCGGTACTAGATTTTTTCCCGTCACTAATTTTGTTCACAAGACTCAATTTCTGGTGGTACCTTGGCTCATAATGAATTTAACTCAAAATCTGAGTTCGAATCTGACCATGACCTGTTTTTTGTTAAACGGTGAACAGTCAGTTTCAAATAAAATAGTCGGCCTATTTTTTGTCTGTGTTGATGTTTTGCGGCTTAGTTGACATATCTTAGAATCGCTTTTTTTGCTGCACGAAATTTTCATTGCTAGTGTTTTGATCTACTACAGTTTGTAACTTTACTTACCTTCGTATTTCCTTTTGTTTCGTTTAAAAATTCGGTCTTTATTTTATTGGCTTAGTTACCTAATTTTGAGTATTTTCAAGAGAAAAACAGTTTTGATGCTTCCCTCTGGATTGCTCAAAATGTTAAAAGTCTTAGAATAAAGTTTATTGTTCAAATTTTTTCATGACAACAATTCTGTTTTTGATTCTACTGGAATTTACTCAAATTGTGTCGACCCAGTTGCCGGTAGATAATTGTTTTTAAGTTTTGATTAAACGCCGACGATTGTGTTTCTGGACGTGTTTTCCACAATTAGAACATCATTCCAGACAGCATTTTGAAGTTATTTTTGTTGTGGCTTATATGAAAATTGATAATTTTTTTGGACTTAGTGGCTGTCCTTTCCTGTCTGCTAGCTTGCAATACCAAGTTTAAGCGTAATTTTACTGGGTGAAAACTTTCTTGTTTCTGTTTTCACGGAAACCGGTTATAAGAATTTATAACATTAAGAGTTCGGCTCGGACTTAAATCATAGATAAAGCGATAAAGGGAAGTTCTCTGCCGGTAAAAACAAATAGTATCTTTTTAATAAACGCAAAGCAGTGATGTCATGCCGAAGTGGATAAACTGATTCTTCCTAATTGGAGGCCAGGTTGCGCATCCTCGGTGTGGGATCTTAATAATTTGGTTTCTTGATTCTGCCCTTGAAAAATTAGTCTGCGTTGTTTCTGAATGAGTCCTCGCATTTGCCTCTTAAACGTTACACTGAGCAATGCCATGTTACAAATAGTCGAAAGCAAGAACTGGTTGTTTTAAAAGGCGTTGAGTGCGACATTTCGTAACAACCGACAAGTAACAATGCATTGGCAAGAAACAAACGCTTGCTCCACTCCGCTTACATTCGACACGAGCAGCATAGTGTGCTTGAATCAGTGTTTGCCGCTCAATCAGCTATTACGAATTGTCGCGTGGTTCGAGTTATCACCTGGGCGAATCGCCGCTTTCGACCAAATTGCGCTTTTGACGAGTTATCGCCTCACGCATGGACAAGCATATTGCAACCGCGTTTTTGACTTTTCACATAAAAATTTTGTAAACAGAATTGTGATTTGAATGATCCCTGATATCTTCATCAACTGATTGATTTTGTTATCTCTGATAACGACATATAGAGTTGTGTATGCAGGCCAATAAGTTTTATTAAATACATTTTAAAAAAGTTGCCAGTTTTTTCGGTTTCACCATTTTTGGCGTATTTTGTTTCAGCTTAGCTTCGATTATATTCAAAGGCTCATGCTCTCGAGTCTAGATTTTTTTGGCCTTTCTGAGCTATTTAAAAAAAAATTAATTGGCGCCGGTTCTTTCAACTTATTTGCTTTATACAATCCTAATTCTGGCTGAGCGAAACCAGATCGGTTTTACATTTTTGATCTCAAGGACTGAAAACGTGTTTCGTTTTGTTTTTCAATTATTGTTTTAGTTCAGTAATTTTTTTTTCAAACTCACGACTTTAGTGCTGGTCAAGAAAAGGTACGGCCGAGTTTTAAAATATTCACAAACTAAAAATTGTTTTCGGGTGTATCTCTCATTGTTCTTGCGAAACTTCTAAAGGCAGTCAATACTAATAGGTGTTCTAAAAAAAGTAGCAGTTTTTTCTTTCGTAGTGTTTTAAGATTTTTCATTGTATATAACAGGGATTTCTTACAGCAAATTTAAATACTGTGCCGAAATAAGCTTCGTTTTTGTTTAATTTTGTTTTTTTTCTATCAGGAGCTTGGTTTTTATTCTATTTTTTTTAATTGTATCAGGAAAAAATCAAAAAAAAAAATTTTCATCTTCACAGTGTCTGTTTTGTCTGTTAGACTCGAAGGAGTTGATTTTTTTGTTTAAACATTGAAGTAAAACTTATAGCTGCATCGCTTCGTTAAGCAAAAAATGATCTTTTAATTCGTATTCATCGCAGCAATGCGTTCGACTTGCACCACAGTTTCCTGTTCTCAATTTTTATAAATAGAAGGGGCATAAGGGACAAATTCCCATGGCTTCAGAACGGTTTGATTGGTAGAACTGAAGTGGTAATGTGTGAGCGCGACTAGTGAACTTAAAAAATTTAGAGGGCACAGTTCTGGGAATGCTTCTGTTATTTATTGATCTTCTCGGTATTAGCGATATACAGGGAGATATGACGGTGCTGCATTATACGTATTCATTTCCTTCAGTCCTTCATAAGTATCGCATATCAATGATATTGCACTTTATTTGAGCTCTTATACAATTGAATTTATTTTTCGGATGCGTGTTGTTAGTCCGTCCGACGTCCCCTGATGTTATTGAAAACGGAGATTGCAAACTTTAATTCAAAGTTGATTCGCCTGGTTTTGGTGGCTGAATATATTTTTGTGTTCTCAATCAATATTGACAAGATTAGCATCTAACATACCATGAACTTTACTTTACATCGCGCTATTTATAAATATCATCATCACGCCACTAATCAAAGGTCAATGTCTTTACTTACGAAGGTGAATGTTAAAGTTCATGTATGTTACAATAAGTATTCATTTCTTTCAGTTTTACATTTTTTCAGTCGATCTTCGAAGCTTTCCTCGCTGATGATTGAAAAATTTAGTAGCTGCCTGAAAGTTATGTTCGTCTTCTTGGGACTGGTACTTAATTCAGAGAAACTTGATTAATTTCTCATGTCATCCAAATAAAAAAAATGGTTGTTCGGACCCCGTAATATGTCAGTTTTGGTTCACGAAATCGAAATACACGTTCGAAGGCTGAGTTTTTTTAACGAAGTTTTATTAATAAACGATCAGATTGACCGCGCTACTGGATTATGCTTGTGGCAACTAAGAGAACTCGGGGATACACGTAAACGTATATCATCTTAAAAAGCTAGTCATGTGTCTTGAGCCTTTGTTTTTTATGTCTAGATTTGTGATACGGCCTTTATTCTGGCTCGACTGGTGAACAAGTTTACAAACGCCAGCGGGCCCGGAATGCAGCTGCTCATATCGTTGTCTGCTTGAACCGTTGAGCTCATATATCTCAAATTCCAATCAACCTATGTTGTCAGGTATAGGTCCGATCGATTTTAAAATTCCACCGATTGGTCTTCAAATTTTACAATTTAACTACATGCGTAGTTATCTCTGCTACATTTCGCTCCTGTTACGCTGAGCCAGAAACTGTGAAAACTACTTCAAATAAGAGAAGGGGTACAACATATCCGGCCAAGTTTTGTCGATTCTGCTGCTGTTGTTTGAAACAAACTTCAGATGATCCTGCAGTCTTTAGAAGTTTGAAGCGTGTCTCAAAACTCATTTTTTTTGTATTCAATTTTTCATTTCTCATTAAATTTTCCACTTTTGTATAAAAGTGCAATTTTTTTGCTCTGTTTTATTAATAGGAAACTGTCAAATTGGGCATGTATTATTACGCAAGCGTTATCAAACGGGAATGTAGACTTTTTTGGGTTGACGACTTGTTAAACAAAATCACTTGAATCACTGGAATTGATTCCCGTGCACACGTGCAACCAACATACGCTTTACCGGTCTACTGTTACTACTGGCAGTGTTTTTTAAGCAAAAATTTCTCAAGTTTTAAAAGACAAACTATTCCGTTTCAATAAATTTTCGGACTATCGTTAGTCTGATAATGTTTTGTCGGCTTAGTTGCCGCATCACAGTTGTCTTGTTATACAAGGTATTTACAGAAAAACATATGATAGCTTGACTTACATCAAAATCAAAATTAATTAGCTTTTCAGGCACACATGGTATTTGAGACAAATACTACGCCTGAGGTGGTAAAGGTTGTGCGTTCAAACCAGGTCAGAACTTTTTTTATTCAAAAGGGAAATTTTCTGTTTCGAAAAATTGTCAAGCTGTTGTGTGTCTGCTTATGTTCGGTTGGCTTAATTGCCTTGTTACGGATTTTTGCTGGGCTGTAAGCAATGTTTATTGTAACTGAAAGAGTTTTGATTTATTACTGTTATTTGTAAATTTACTAACTTTGTATTTTTTGTCTTTTTTACGCTTTTGCGTGTTTCTGGAGGGAGAAGCTTAAAAATTTAGATTTTCGGAATGTTCAAAAATTTTTCAATGGAAAACGATTTTGCTCAAAGGGATTGTAAACTGCCTTTTCCAGCTTAGTGGCCGAAGATTTTTGTGTCTGAATACTTACTAAACGCCAGTTATTGTGTTTTTAAATCGAACATCATTCCAGACAATTTCTGAAAGTTTTGTTGTTATGGTTTTTTCGAAATTCTCTAATTTTTTTTACGATTTAGTGTTTTTTTATTCATTTTCTGTCTGCTGGCTTGCAATGCTATGTGTGTGTGTGTGTGGTTTCCCAAGTGGTGCGAAGCTCAGCTTCGCCTCTGTGTCAAATATCAATACTAAAAGTTTACTGAAATTGAACGACAATCACTGCGATATAGTTTTTTCAAACAGACAGTTTTTGAAACAGACAGTTTTTGTTTTCTGTGTTCAGTTACCGTTTTCAAACTGTTTGTTAGGAATGCCTTTCATTTCATTTTTATCAGCGATTTTATGATTTTCGGGAATTGGTTGTTACTTAACTGCCCCGTGCTATTGCTCTGTTACGTTCTGTGTAAAAAAAATCAACTTCAGATTTATAAAAATAACAGTTTTTGGAAGAACGTTGTTGTGAAAACCAAAAAGATTTTCTCTGTTTTCATGGGCGTCGTTTGGAAAAGTCTTTGCTAGGCTTTTTTTTTATTCCCTTGTGTTATCTTCTGCCAAACTCTACACTACACGTTCCAGAATAAAATTGCGAAAATGACCAAGTAGTCTTGTTTGAGTTTTGGCTCTTAAAATGAGAATTTTAGTGTGGAAAGATAAGCGTTTTCCTGATGTGTCCTATCTTTATTAGGATTGTGATAAGATTTTGACCTTACTGGATAAACACAGAATGGCACATTCGAGCTGCTTTCAGTTGTTTATTTTCTTTTTAAATAACCATTTAAAGCAAACTGAAAACTGAATTGCAAAAAGTTTGATTATATAAAGTGCTAGTCCAGAAATTTTTCCAGTCTTGTCTTGGCATTGGCACTGCTTCTTATTTCTAGTGGCATTTTCTCAACTTTTTGTGTGTCGAGCTCTGCAAAGTAATTTTATGGACATATTTTTTTTTTAAATAGCAAGAAGTCGTTTTGAAACCAACAAATGGCATTGTATCAGCGTGCGCCTTCCTCTCAAAATTAGCCCCTCGCTCCACCATATCATCTTAAGAAAAGACTTAGGTTCATTCGGTAGACAGGGATGCAGTTGAAAATGGATTTTGTTTGGGCAATAGTAACGTCAGTTTTGAGTGCTCGTTTTTATTTCAAAATGATGAAAAAAAATGGTAAAAAGAAAATGGTTCATTCTTTTCTGGTCATTCCTAGGCTCAGACTAAAATGTATCGTTATCTAGATATTGCTTTGATTTGGATGCAAAATCACTACAAATGCCCGAGGAAAACATACAGAAAGACTCAGTTGAAACGTTCATGTAGTTTCTCAATTTCAGATTTTCGAATTGTTTGAAACTTACTGCATTTTTATATGGATTTAGATTTTAAAACCATCGTAGGCGAGACTGTTGCCGAGCTTCTATCGGGTTATAGAAACTTCACTAATGTTCTCTCTTCTGAGGTGATAGAAGTCGCCAGTTCTCGAGTGGTACGATCGTCTGTCATCGGCGACGAAGGCTTAATTATTGTTCAACTTGAATTCAAATGTCGACAAAGTTACGGCGACGAAGAATCAAAAATTACTGTTCTTTATTTTCTGAAAGAAGCCACAAACGTTTGTGTTGGGAAGCTCAAAATCAAAGATCAGTTGCCGTGCCCTTTGGCAGAACTGCTTGATACCTACATTATACCCTGGCCAAATTCCGCCAGGAGGTACGCTTTGCCTTACAGCAACTACGTGAAGTTAATCCCAGTTTCGACCTTACCAGGTATATCAAGTATACATCGCCGAGAAGCTGCCTTTGCAAGGAACTTTGAGCATGAGCTTCGTGAAAGGCTTATTTTTATTTGGGGATCTAAATTGAGTGAGAAAGACTTGAATTCTATCAAACCACCTATCCAGGTTAAAGAAAAAGCAAAATGCTCAAAGGGCGCGGAGTTTCAAAAAATCTTTGTCAGCGAAATCTGGACAGTAATGCAAATGGAGCATTTTAATTCTGGCTCTCGATTGTCATTTTTGCCAATGGAGCTGGTTGAAGTAATTTATAGACACGTGGAACAATACTGGAAATCAAGTATTGAGACAAGAGGAGTTTTTGCTAGTGTTGTTGCTCAAGTGCCGTTTCCTAAGCCAAAGGGTGAGTGTTATCCTTTTTCATCTGTGAGGTTTGATTAATCTTCTATTAGTATGATTCTCAATTGCCTTGTCATCTCAACAACGTGGACTGTCAAAAGCTTTCCAAGCAAAACAATTCGAGAAAAATCATCCAAAATTTAAAAAAAATTCATCAAAGTGTCATCAAAGGCATAGTTTTTACGCTTGCGATTAGCAAGCGTTATCAAATCGGAATGTAGTTTTTTTCGGGTTAACAACTAGTTGAAGAAAATCAGTTGAATCACTTACGGGTGGGTACTAAGTTACTATTAGCTACTGTTTGGGTGGTGGTGCTACGTGGTAGTTTCGAAGGTAATTAAATTTTCGGGACAACTGGTGTATGCTCAAAGATTGTCGGCCTGGTTTCAATTCTTGCTTGGCATGTTTGTCTAGAGTGCCTGTTCCATAAAAACAGGTATTATGAAATTGTTTGTAATGTAATATTGAGCTGGAAACATTCATAGCTTTTGGACTTAAAAACTCCCGTCAAAAAAGGCTGTTTAAATTTTGTCTTGATAAATAAATCAGACGAGCACATTTCGTTACTCTATTCGAAAGTCGCATCAAAAATCAAACAAAACAATAGAAACAAGTCAGTCGCAGAGAAAACAATAGAAACAAGTAACACAATTATCCGACCACGCTCCTTGAAAATATCAGTTTACATCTTGCAAATTGTGTGGTTTTCTATTCCTGAGCGCTTGCTTCATTCTCCCGAAATTAAACTATTAATCAAAAATGTAAAACTGATTTTTAATGGAAACTGAGAAAAATGTAGACATTTTTTATTTCGAATCAAAACAGAAAGGCATTTAATATGTAGTGTACTCAATGATACTATTTCAATAAATTATTTGGTCATAGAAAATTGTAAATCGACAAATGATCAAAGCTTTTAGTTTCGCTTCACGGCTGATCTTCCTTTCCAGCAACGATTGATTATGAAAGAACTTAATAATAATTAAATAATTTGAGAAAGTGATAGCCCAGCTAAATTAGACCTGTCTCGAAGGCTTAAAGGTGCGTATCCTCTAATGCGAAATTATCATAATTAAAGTCGCTATGATGCTAGGGTAATCAAAAAACTGGGGGTTGTTGTTTTCGCCATGGTCGTGATTTGCTCGTCTATAGCTAGGTCTAGGAACTTCGCGGCATTCAGTGGCCGAAGCCACATGTCTGCGGGTGTAAGAAGGGAGGGGATATAGGGACAATTGAGACGATGGAAAGTAGTGTGGGGTGCAAGGAAGACGGTTGGGCATAGAAAGGCAATGGAGTTGGAAGTGCTTACAGCAGGTGTATCGGGAGAGGGATTGTTCTAAGGGGTCAACTTTGAATTTTGGTTGGAGGGATACAAATAACTTTAGAGGTTGGAACTTCAGGCAGGAGGGTTACTTGTTTCGTATGATTGTGTTTTGAAATAAGTGCCAAATGTTTAAAAACAAAAGCGGAGACTTCGTCTCGGTTTTCAGTTTGTTTTTGAGGGGGATACAAATACCTTAGAGGTTGGGGCTTCAGTAAGGAACTTGGTTAATTTTTTTGTTTGATTGATTTTTAAAATAAGTTTTAAATATTTATAAGCCAAGGATGAGACGTCGTCTCGGTTTTGAAACTCTTTGGTGGAGTTCGTTTAACAATTTAGTTAAAATTTCAGTGGTTTCTTTCTTCAGGCAGTTGAGAATTGATGGGCGTATTTGGCGAGGGGAAGAGAGTGAGTATGGAAAAACTGTTGGGGTCTGGTAACGGTGAAAAAACTGGGAAGATAATGGTGCAGTGGTTTTAGATGGTTAAATTTTCAGCTTCGGTGTGCAGTGAACTCAAGACTGTGGCATCAGTTATAACACGGAAGGCTGCTCGGTTTTTGCTAACCTGCAAGCGGTTAAGGGAGGTGTTACTGGCAGCGTGGGACCATACATGGGAGAGGTTTTCTAGTGTGAGTTTAAATTAGGGTTTCCTTGGTTTAATCCTATGTTGAACCTGCTAAGGCTTTCAGGATTCTTATCCTGCGCCTGGCCTTGTTCGTGGATTGTTTGTAGTGAGTGAAGCAACTGAGCCGGGTCAATTGTAACGCCTAAATTTTAGATTGTTGCTCAGCGTGAGACGCTCCATGTTCAAAAACACACTGGGTGCTTTATTGATGTCTTTATTGTAAGACGAAAAGAGAGTGACTGATCCTTTAGGGTACGGAAAATTTAGTTTTGAGAAATATAAAAGTTATTTAATTTTTAGGTAGCCATTTATTGAGTTAGATGCTTGTTCGATCTCAGAGTTCTGCGAGAAAGGAAGGAAAATTGTCCGCATATGAGACGAGGTGTGTGTTCTTTGGGGGGGGGCATCATGAACGTGAAAATAAAATGGAGTGGGTGATAGCACAGAACCCTGGGGAAATCCGCAGTGAACTATTCTATGGGGGTTGGCTTTTCGCGAAAGCAAATGGTGGCTTGACGTCAACTTAAATAAATGTTGAGCCAGCTACTGAACTTGTTGCTGGGCCTGCTACACTGAACTGCAAAAATTGTTTTCTGAGCGGTTCTTCATCGACTGCAGCTCGCTTTTCTTTTCCCTAAATTTACAATCACAGATTTCCACTGGGTCTTCTGAATGAAAACTTGCTGTTAAAGTTTGTACCTAGGTGCGCGAGCGCTATAAGCGGCCATTACAAAGCCCTGTTATACAGCGATAATTCGATGAAGCACCGATTTGAGAGATCATCAGGAAATCTTACGACCTGTCAAGTGATTTCTCCTCCGGACAATTATTCAACATAACTCCTATTTCATAGTTAGATCTTTTTTCTGTTTGCAGAAAAAACTGTAAAGTGACAAGTAATTTGAAAGTGACAAGTAATTTGAAATGCATTTGCAAGCTCAAATCTTGCCCTCGCAAATGCATTGAACGTTTTTTGGTTACAAAAATGTGGAAATTTATGTGAAAATCAAAAACGGAATGACTTCGTTCGCGCTGCTGAAATGCAAATAGACCAAATGAATGATATTGCAGAAAAGCCCTATTTCAAATTTCATCATGTAGATGAAGAAATGAAAAAACCCTCAATTATATCTAATCTGCAACTTCACCAGAAGATTCCCTGATGTCAGCTTTAGTCAAGACTGCCAAGTCTGCTTTTGTAATCTTCATGAGAGAGCTTTTTAATATGTGTATTGATGAAAGTGTCTTTCCTGCGGTAATCAAAACTTCCATGGTTCTACCACTTCTGAAAAAGGAAACTCTTCAGACTGAACTTATAGGTTCCTACCGGTCTGTTTCAAATTTTTTAGCATAGTCTCGGAAAGATTGATATTCCTACAATTACTTGATCGCTTAGAAAGTTTCAATACATTAGCTGCACTAGGCTTATCTGCACTAGGCATATCGGAAGTACAGAAATGGCGTTGCTCAATAGTTGACTGATTCTCCTTCAGATCTAATAAGGTCTTATCTTAGAAACACACGCCAAACAGTTCTCATCAAGAATCGCGTTCAGATGGAAGATTTTTTTAACACTGGTGTTCCACATGCGTCTATACTTGGACCTCTTCTGTTTTACAATTATCTTGGCCCACTCCCAGAAGTGTTGGCAAGTATAGTACTTAAGTATCAGATTTACGCAGATGACATGACAATCTACAAGTCATTGAAAAAACGAACCTCTAGATGTCACTTGAACTTGGCAGATTGATAGCATTGCCAAATGGTTTAGAACGAAGGGTTTGGCACTAAATACTGATAAAACCGAAGATTGTGTTTAGAAAAAGTCAATAGTACAAAACCTGTTAAATGTGTATATTTTTGCGATACATCAATTGATCTCAAAGAGCGCTTGGTTTCTCTCGGGGTAATAATTGATCAGAATCTTAAAATGAGGTTTTCAATTACCGCTCTCTGTAGTCCATGCTCTTTTCAACTGCGCAAATCATACCGTATAGGAAAATACTTGAACTTTTATAATAGACACAAGCTAGCAGAAAACCTCAATGTGACGACACTGAATAACTGTAAAAACTTGCATGCGGGCCTTCTGGTTTTCTTTTGCAAAATTTACAAGAAGTTTAAAATGCTGCATGTTCTTTTGTTTTTCAGCTTTCGAAGTTACGAAGTATTACAATATTTCTGCACGAATTACGTTGGTTACCTGTGAAAAGCAGATTTGAATATACGCTTTAATGTCTTTTTAACACCCATTCGAACCGATATATATGCGCAATGCTTCTCCATCGATGAGACGAACTTACTCCAGTCGTAACTTGAACGAAGTAGTACCAAAAGTTTCCTCCGACTACGGAAAAAGCAGCTTCCCTTTTCTAGGTCCCAGGTAGTGGAACAAACTGCCATTTCGCATTAAAAATTGCCAAAGCACAGAAATTTTTAAACAGCTGTTGAAAACGATCTGATGAAATAAATTTTACTACTTCAAATGATTTCAGTTTGTGAAATGCCAAATTATCTGATTACAGAGTTTTAAAACACTAAAAAACCTCCCTAAAAGACACTGTGATGTCATCGAACTTAACAAACCAAAAAGAAGGTTAATTTTCAAAAAGTTGAAGCCTGTTTTTTAATGCGAACTTGGCCCGTCCTGTCGAGCAAGACGGCAAACCGTATTTTGCTCATTTGGACAATTTTGACATTTCTGGGATGTTTTCCAGAAAATGTGATACAACACAAAGTATCTGTTCTATTTTTAATTCAAAACATTCGTTAATCCAAGATCGCATTAGAGCTGGCAGTTTGTTTTTTTTTTAAATCTTAATCAGATGTCCGAGGACCACCGCAATGTGTGCTCGTTTCTCGGTTGAAGCAACATTATCCAGCCCAGAAAAATAATGAAAAAGATCCGTGTAAAGAGCTGAGCAGACCGTATGTTGGTCCTTCACTAGTGGATAAACAGACTTAATTTAAATCCTATTATTTAGTGAAAATTTTGTCTCTAATTGAAGAAAGGAAATTTTAATTGCCATAATAATTGCGAAATATGGCACTACAAGCAAGCTCTTCAGCCGTATTAAGTTTATTACAACCTGTTTTAGGAAATTTTTACTTAATTTTGAGTTGGAATTGTTGATATGTTGTTCTCTGAGACATTTATGGTCTGACACGCTTAAAAGGACTAATTTTGTTGCATTTTTGTTAGATTTTATAATGATCTTGCGGTGCAGTGCCTAGCGGTTGCTTTGTTTGATAATCAGTGATCTTTATTGTCCAGGAATCAACGTGAACATGATGCCAATTGTGTTGGGCGATCTCGATTCAATCCCAAAAGACATGCGCCAGTATCTTCCACTTCTAGCAGTGTGTCCTCTAAATCGAGAAGAGTTTGATAAGATTGGATACCTAACAATCCACGAGTCAACAGTTAAGGAAGATGGCAAATCACAGAGAAGGGAAGGACTGCATACGGAGACGCCTGGAAAGATACAGATACCGTATGCTTCCGACTGTTCCCTGCCATCAGTACGTTTCTTTACACTAGCGAACTTGCGGAGCGTAGTGTATTAGTACAAACCTTCTTTTTTTTCAACCTAAGTCGCAAATAAAATTGTTCTTTAAAATGTTCACTTAGTTGGTGGCACTTTGCAACAATCACGATCTGTACCATTCGAAATTTCGTAGCATCAGTTCTCTGCTTTATTTTTGGCTAGTGTTTGTGATTTTCTAATCGTCTGTGGCTGAGTGATTAGTGCGCGAGACTCATAAACTCTGGTGTGCATATCGGATCTGAGACGTAGCCGAAATTTTACTAATTCGAGGCTTATTTCTTCTTTTTCTTGTTGCATTTTATAGAGCTGTTTTTTGTCGTGTTCTTGCTAGTATTTGCTTCGCGTCAATGTTGAATCTTCAAATACAACCTTAAATAGACCTCGAGTTTTATCATGTCGATGTCTCATCAAGGGAAGAATTGCGATTCTGCATAGAAAGACGAACAGCTAATGGTTTGTCAGACTTTACTCAAAATTTGACTTTTTAAAGCAAAAGAGCAGGATAAATTGCGAGTAATGCTGTTTTATAAAAGGCAATCTAATCTCTTAATGGATCCTCGTATTCGAGCAATTCGGTTTCATTATGCGCGTGATGGATCGAAGCGTTTGTCACGTTCATACCTCATGCTACTAAGTTTATGATGTAGGACGTAAAAGGTTCCTGGAGAGTTCAGTCAGATGTTCCCAGTTCAGTCAGATGGGGCCGTGGAGTGCACGACGGGAACCTGGGAGCTACGTACGAGTACATAGGAGGTATCTACATGGCCTCAAATGTGGCCGACAGTTGTCGCATCTGGAACTGCAAGGTGAACCACCCAGAGGAGTTTGTGGGCCATCTGGGAGACATAGAGAACATGCGTAGTTTCCTCGGACAGGGAGAAACTTTGGCTGCAGGTACTTGAGAAAAAAATGGTTTTAAGAGTAATGAACGTAATTATTAAAAAAAACTCAGTAAAGTCTTAAAATTTGTTCACGCTCAATTTTCATTTTTTTTCGCGGTTTGAGTTGATTTTTTTTAAGTTCACTTCATTTTTTTTTTGTTAAATTAATGGTCAGATTATGGAAATTTATCGTCAGATTTCCCAGCGAAATAAAAAAAATAACTGTGGATCCAGTTTTCTCTTGTGTTCAGTCAGTTTTTTTCTGTTTCTTTGCGTTCATTACTCTTTTCCGACTGTCAGTTGGCTACGTTTGAAATTTTTCGCTTGAAGTTTTCCAAGAATTTAAGATAATTTAAAGAAGCGCTGTTAACTACTTCGGCTTTGCTGATAAATTTTTCGTAATATATTTCATAATTAGTCGTTATAGATCCTTAAAAAATTATGCGCTAAAGCCCAACTTTTTCAGTGTTTTTGAGACATCCTTCATGATTAAATTGACCTTTTCGCACTTTGCACCCTTGAAGGCGAAGTGGTGTGGATCACAGACTGTACTCCTCACGAGTCACTTCCTCTGAAGAAGGGAACGAAGAGACAGTACTTCAGACTGGTGACTAGTGACGTCACTGTGTGGTATGAGGACCACAGCACGCCGAACCCACTGGGCATAAAGCCATCGGAGGGAGTGAAAATAGTCAGTGGGAACAAGTTTGCTAAGCCTCATTCAGCATCAGCTTCACGTTAACCAGCTAATAAACACTGTCATCTTATTTTATCGACAAAATTTCAATCTCTCTTAACATCATAATTGTTCAAATCATTTTATTACTGTAGCTTAGTTATAATTCTTGTGTACAAAATTTTCAAAACAGAATTTATGTATATATTTTAAGCGGTTGTTCCTATGGCAGATGAGAAAAGAGCCTCTAACAGGAATTTTTCGCATAGTCACTCATCATGTGTCCCTGGACGACGTGAAGACAAATCTGTGTGGGTCGTGTTATTTTTTTTCCCAGGAAAAGCTTTAAAAGATGTTCGCGCTTAAGTTGTGTTGCTAGGCGGAATGCAAATTACGCTCTCTATTATAAAAAGTGCATATGGCTCGAAAAAAAACGTGATTCTTTTTCGATTCAGATGCAAAAGTGGTGTGATCTTTAAGATCTCTCAGTAGATCAAAAAATTATCTATTGGCCAAGTTTTCTCAAATTGAGTTAGTTTTTTTTTATATAATGTACCAATCATTTCAGATTCTTGGATTTTAGTTTGAATTAAAAATTTTAAAAAATGGTCAAAATTGATAGTTTTTTTTCGGTTTTCTCGAGCTCTATAACCTTTTCCAACTGTCTGTTGGCTATGTTGGTGGTTAACATGTTTCGTTGGATTGATAATTTTTTTCATACAAAAACATTCAATTGGAGCGGCTAAGATATCACATTCTTTTTTTTAGTGAACGTTTATTCCATAATTGTCAACCAGAAAAAAAACATTCATTGCATAGTAAAAATTCAATTTGGTTGCAATTTAATCTAGCTATACAGTAGTTATTGTCTTTTTGTGTTTACGAGTCGATGAACGTAGTCAAGATTCTTGTATAGGTCGCGGTGATTTTTTTCTTTTTTCGGGCAAAGTTTTAAAATTTGTTCAATCTCAATTTTTTTTTTGAGTTTTGACTTTGGATTTTTTTTAGTTCAGTTGATTTCCTTCGTGAAAAGGAAGGCAAACTCCACCATCGAATAGCGAAAGTGCAAGAGTTACAAAAAACGTGATCGAGTTCTAATTACGAAAATGTAATTTAATTATTGCACTTGCGATAGCAAGTATCTCATAATCGGGAAGTAGGCTTTTTCCCGTAATCAAGTTTTGCTACACATTTTTCAGAAATTGTGAAGTTGATTTATTAGTGAACCTTAGCAACTTTGAAACCTTTTCCCTCTTGGCCTAGAGATAACGTGGATGCCTTTGTACCTTAACGTCTGTGTTCTTGTCACGGCCCTACTTTGATTTTTTCTATGCTTGAAGTTGAATTTTTTTGAATGCTTGGTCTTTAATTTGTCAGCTTATGTTTTGCCGGCTTAGCTACCACATTTTTTTGTGCTGTCAGCAATTTTCATAGTAGATGCAAGTGTTTTTGGTTTTGCCCTGTCATTTGTAAAATTTATGTTATATTTTCGTGTTGTATGTTCCTTGATTTCTTTTTTCGTTTTTTTTTCGCATAAAAGATTTATTCGGCCTCATTGGTTTCGGTCTAATTTTACCAGCCTAGTTAGCTTATTTTGTGTCACTTCAAAGGAAAAAATGATTCTATAGCAAGTTAAAAAAAACTCAATTGCTCAATTTTCTTACGGCAACAACTTCTTGCGGTTTTTTTTTCGGTGCAATTGGCGTCTTACCAACTTGCTTGGGTGCCGCTTGGTAAAAACTTAGAGTATTTAGTACTGGTGTTTGTGTAACATTATCCAGCCCAGAAAAATAATGAAAAAGATCCGTGTAAAGAGCTGAGCAGACCGTATGTTGGTCCTTCACTAGTGGATAAACAGACTTAATTTAAATCCTATTATTTAGTGAAAATTTTGTCTCTAATTGAGGAAAGGAAATTTTAATTGCCATGATAATTGCGAAATATGGCACTACAAGCAAGCTCTTCAGCCGTATTAAGTTTATTACAACCTGTTTTAGGAAATTTTTACTTAATTTTGAGTTGGAATTGTTGATATGGTGTTTTCTGAGACATTTATGGTCTGACACGCTTAAAAGGACTAACTTTGTTGCATTTTTGTTAGATTTTATGATGATCTTGCGGTGCAGTGCCTAGCGGTTGCTTTGTTTGATAATCAGTGATCTTTTTTGTCCAGGAATCAACGTGAACATGATGCCAATTGTGTTGGGCGATCTCGATTCAATCCCAAAAGACATGCGCCAGTATCTTCCACTTCTAGCAGCGTGTCCTCTAAATCGAGAAGAGTTTGATAAGATTGGATACCTAACAATCCACGAGTCAACAGTTAAGGAAGATGGCAAATCACAGAGAAGGGAAGGACTGCATACGGAGACGCCTGGAAAGATACAGATACCGTATGCTTCCGACTGTTCCCTGCCATCAGTACGTTTCTTTACACTAGCGAACTTGCGGATCGTAGTGTATTAATACGAACCTTCTTTTTTTTCTTACCTAAGTCGCAAATAAAATTGTTCATTAAAATGTTCTCTTAGTTGGTGGCACTTTGCAACAATCACGATCTGTACCATTCGAAATTTCGTAGCATCAGTTCTCTGCGTTATTTTTGGCTAGTATTTGTGATTTTCTAATCGTCCGTGGCTGAGTGGTTAGTGCGCGAGACTCATAAACTCTGGTGTGCATATCGGATCTGAGACGTAGCCGAAATTTTACTAATTCGAGTCTTATTTCTTCTTTTTCTTATTGCATTTTATAGAGCTGTTTTTTGTCGTGTTCTTGCTAGTATTTGCTTCGCGTCAGTGTTGAATCTTCAAATACAACCTTAAACAGACCTCGAGTGTTATCATGTCGATGTTTTATCAAGGGAAGATTTGCAATTCTGCATAGAAAGACGAACAGCTAATGGTTTGTCAGACTTTTCTCAAAATTTCACTTTTTAAAGCAAAAGGGCAGGATAAATTGCGAGTAATGCTGTTTTATGAAAGGCAATCTCTTGATGGATCCTCGTATTCGAGCAATTCGGTTTCATTATGCGCGTGATGGATCGAAGTGTTTGTCACGTTCATACTTTTGCTACTAAGTTTATGATGTAGGACGTAAAAGGTTCCTGGAGAGTTCAGTCAGATGTTCCCCTCACTATCGCATGGGGCCGTGGAGTGCACGACGGGAACCTGGGAGCTACGTACGAGTACATAGGAGGTATCTACATGGCCTCAAATGTGGCCGACAGTTGTCGCATCTGGAACTGCAAGGTGAACCACCCAGAGGAGTTTGTGGGCAATCTGGGAGACATAGAGAACATGCGTAGTTTCCTCGGACAGGGAGAAACTTTGGCTGCAGGTACTTGAGAAAAAATGGTTTTAAGAGTAATGAACGTAGTGAGCGCTCTTATTAAAAAAAACTCAGTAAAGTCTTAAAATTTGTTCACGCTCAATTTTCATTTTTTTTCGCGGTTTGAGTTGATTTTTTTTTTTAAAGTTTACTTCATTTCCTTTGTTAAATTAATGGTCAGATTATGGAAATTTATCGTCAGATTTCCCAGCGAAATAAAAAAAATTACGGTGGATCCAGTTTTCTCTTATTGTGTTCAGTCAGTTTTTTTTCTGTTTCTTTGCGTTCATTACTCTTTTCCGACTGTCAGTTAGCTACGTTTGAAATTTTTCGCTTGAATTTTTCCAAGAATTTAAATTAATTTAAAGAAGCGCTGTTAAATACTTCGGCTTTGCTGATAAATTTTTCGTAATATATTTCATAAATAGTCGTTATAGAGCCTTAAAAAATTATGCGCTAAAGCTCAACTTTTTCAGTGTTTTTGAGACATCCTTCATGATTAAATTGAACTTTTCGCACTTTGTACCCTTGAAGGCGAAGTGATGTGGATCACAGACTGTACTCCTCACGAGTCACTTCCTCTGAAGAAGGGAACGAAGAGACAGTACTTCAGACTGGTGACTAGTGACGTCACTGTGTGGTATGAGGACCACAGCACGCCGAACCCACTGGGCATAAAGCCACCGGAGGGAGTGAAAATAGTCAGTGGGAACAAGTTTGCTAAGCCTCATTCAGCATCAGCTTCACGTTAACCAGCTAATAAACACTGTCATCTTATTTTATCGACAAAATTTCAATCTCTCTTAACATCATAATTGTACAAAATCATTTTATTACTGTAGCTTAGTTATAATTCTTGTGTACAAAATTTTCAAAACAGAATTTATGTATATATTTTAAGCGGTTGTTCCTATGGCAGATGAGAAAAGAGCCTCTAACAGGAATTTTTCGCATAGTCACTCATCATGTGTCCCTGGACGACGTGAAGACAAAACTGTGTGGGTCGTGTTATTTTTTTTTCCCAGGAAAAGCTTTAAAAGATGTTCGCGCTTAAGTTGTGTTGCTAGGCGGAATGCAAATTACGCTCTCTATTATAAAAAGTGCATATGGCTCGAAAAAAAAACGTGATTCACTTTCGATTCAGATGCAAAAGTGGTGTGATCTTTAAGATCTCTCAGTAGATCAAAAAATTATCTATTGGCCAAGTTTTCTCAAATTGAGTTTTTTTTTTTTTATATAATGTACCAATCATTTCAGATTCTTGGATTTTAGTTTGAATTAAAAATTTTAAAAAATGGTCAAAATTGATAGTTTTTTTTCAGTTTTCTCGAGCTCTATAACCTTTTCCAACTGTCTGTTGGCTATGTTGGTGGTTAACATGTTTCGTTGGATTGATAATTTTTTTCATACAAAAACATTCAATTGGAGCGGCTAAGATATCACATTCTTTTTTTTTAGTGAACGTTTATTCCATAATTGTCAACCAGAAAAAAAACATTCATTGCATAGTAAAAATTCAATTTGGTTGCAATTTAATCTAGCTATACAGTAGTTATTGTCTTTTTGTGTTTACGAGTCGATGAACGTAGTCAAGATTCTTGTATAGGTCGCGGTGATTTTTTTCTTTTTTCGGGCAAAGTTTTAAAATTTGTTCAATCTCAATTTTTTTTTTGAGTTTTGACTTTGGATTTTTTTTAGTTCAGTTGATTTCCTTCGTGAAAAGGAAGGCAAACTCCACCATCGAATAGCGAAAGTGCAAGAGTTACAAAAAACGTGATCGAGTTCTAATTACGAAAATGTAATTTAATTATTGCACTTGCGATAGCAAGTATCTCATCGGGAAGTAGGCTTTTTCCCGTAATCAAGTTTTGCTACACATTTTTCAGAAATTGTGAAGTTGATTTATTAGTGAACCTTAGCAACTTTGAAACCTTTTCCCTCTTGGCCTAGAGATAACGTGGATGCCTTTGTACCTTAACGTCTGTGTTCTTGTCACGGCCCTACTTTGATTTTATCTATGCTTGAAGTTGAATTTTTTTGAATGCTTGGTCTTTAATTTGTCAGCTTATGTTTTGCCAGAGATAACGTGGATGCCTTTGTACCTTAACGTCTGTGTTCTTGTCAGAGATAACGTGGATGCCTTTGTACCTTAACGTCTGTGTTCTTGTCACGGCCCTACTTTGATTTTATCTATGCTTGAAGTTGAATTTTTTTGAATGCTTGGTCTTTAATTTGTCAGCTTATGTTTTGCCGGCTTAGCTACCACATTTTTTTGTGCTGTCAGCAATTTTCATAGTAGATGCAAGTGTTTTTGGTTTTGCCCTGTCATTTGTAAAATTTATGTTATATTTTCGTGTTGTATGTTCCTTGATTTCTTTTTTCGTTTTTTTTTTCGCATAAAAGATTTATTCGGCCTCATTGGTTTCGGTCTAATTTTACCAGCCTAGTTAGCTTATTTTGTGTCACTTCAAAGGAAAAAATGATTCTATAGCAAGTTAAAAAAAACTCAATTGCTCAATTTTCTTACGGCAACAACTTCTTGCGGTTTTTTTTTTCGGTGCAATTGGCGTCTTACCAACTTGCTTGGGTGCCGCTTGGTAAAAACTTAGAGTATTTAGTACTGGTGTTTGTGTTTTTCGACTGTTTTTCTGAAATTATTTTTTCTTTTCCCCTAATTTTTTTGTTTAGTTATTTCCGTCTTATTTTCGATTCGCTAGCTTGCAATGCTGCGCATGCGTTGTATCTCAAGTGATACAGAGCTCTGCTTTGCCTTTTTGTGAGATTCCCAGTGAAACAAAAATATTACCTTTCGATTCAATTTTCTCAATTTGACTTTTTTAATGAAAAAAACGTCGCACATTAATTGTTCTAGCAATTCAAAGAGTTTTAAGGCCATCTGTTTTTTTTTGGAAGTTGGAAAGTTGTGATTTTGACTCATCTCCAACTGTCTGTTGGCTATGTTCTTTTAACAAATAAGGTAACAAAAAGAACTTTGTGTGAGTTCTGATGGTAAATCATGCTGAAACCTTTTCAACATCGTTTTGAGCTACAAGGAAAACTTCGTAAAATTTTTTTCTCGGTGTCGGAAGACATGAGCTGAATATCTAAGCTTTTCAACCTGTTTTTTCTTCGAAATTTTTGTCGTTTTTACACAAGCATCGCTTGAGTTATAGTATGAACTATCTTTTTTTTCAACCCAAGTTGCAAATGTTGTTGCGACGCTAATATTATTGCGATAAATTGTGTTCATTATGAAAGTGTTCATTTTGATCAATAACCAGGTATTAAGTACAGCCAAGGCTAAAGATATTAACACCGACTATTATTGTTCCGAATTTCGTAACAAAAATAACGGAATAATTGTGCTCGGGTGGTTTTTTTTCTTCTGACAAATTTCGAACCAGCCACTTTTGACGGAATTTTTCTATCTCTCGAAAGGTTTTGTTGTTCTGAGCTTAAACTTGAAAAATTATTTGATCTGTGATCATTTTTTGTTAAGTTATGGGAGCTTAAAATTTGCCATTTTGGGAAAAATTAGTTTTGCCTTAATTAATTTCTTTGTAGCAGTGAAATTCATCATTTTGTACTTCATATGGTGTGTGGGGGGATGATTTTCACAAAAGTCTCAAATTTTAAGAACAAAATTTATTTGATTTAATTAAAATTTATTTTTTTCATGTTATTACTGCTCCATAGACCTTAAAAGGCAGTCAGCACATTCAGGGCTTCGCACTTTAGCTTCATGGTATCATGAATCTGCGTATTGATAGGGAGGAGACCCGCAACAAAATAAGAGAGTCGAACCTGGGCAGGGTCGGATGTTTTTAATCGATTTTTTTGTATACTAGCTAAAATGCGTCTGCTCTATAAATTGAGGACTGTGCAATTGGTAAATTTTTTTCTTTTTCAAATTGACTGCTAATGCGTCGTAGAGTTATCGGTCATATTTTTTCCTTGTGTATGCGACGTTTTTCTGATTTTTCTGCAGAATTTTTTTTTATTTTGTTGCCGAGCAAGCGCTGAATGAAGCTGTCGACATTTTTTTTCACGATTATTTAAACTTACACCAATTACTTATTACGATTATTTTATCGGTGAAGTAGTGATGCCGCGTTAAGAAATTTCCTTTCAGATTTTAATTATGCGCATCGGCCGTGCGATAAAATTCTTATCGTGTAGTTTTGCAACCTACTATGCTGGTGTAACTGCACATATGAACTATCATTTGATCAGATCCAAACAAATAGATGTGCCTCACCCAGTTTGGAAAAATTCGGAAGACAGTAAAAAAGCGTTTAGGAAGCACCAAAAACTTGTAGTTGCTACTGAAAATCTTCTACGAGGAACCTTGCCTGCTTCAGAAGTGAACAAGTTCTTCAATTCACACCTTTTCTACGACAGTAATTTTGTCACTTTGAAAGACGAGATAGTTTTGAAATACTTTTTGAATCCAATGAGGAGAAAATACGAAATTGAGCCTGTAATGGAGTATCACACTGACTGTGGGTTTTGTTTGTTGCTGAAATTTGACCCCGGAAATGAAACATGGCTGGCGCCTTTTTATGACTCATGTCTTGTTTTTGTCAGTATGAAGGACGAGAAGGTCAGTGGAATGACGTTGCACATCAACCAGAAATGCTTCATCACTGGCAAGTTCAAACGAAATAAGATAATGGGACCGCAGCATGACTTCATTAGAGCTTTTAATAGTTCTGTTGTCAATATTTTGTTCATGTTAATGCCAGTTCCTATTAAATAAAATTGTACCATAAAATATTTTTAAAAGTCAAAATTCACAAAGATATGATATATTTTTATTGTAGGACGATGATACGAAGTCAATATTCAAAGAAACCAAATGTTTTTAGTAGGCTGATGATACGAAGTCAACTCACATAGAGATGATATGTTTTTTTTTCAAATAGAAGTGCATTTACCAGGAGACTAATTGAATATGAAGTGTGTAAATTAGGGGCGGATCTAGGATTTTTTTGAGGGGGGGGGGGGGGCATCGGATTTTCTCGAGGGAGGGACGGATTTTCGAAATTTTGGAATTTTGTCGACCTTTTTTTAGGTTGACCAAATTGGCTTTCCGAGCTCTCTCAAAAAATTCTGGCCAAAGTCCCTGTTTCGGCCAAAATTTCTGCGCCTCAGCCAAAATTTTGAAAAAAAAACAGGCCAAAAAGACGTTTTTAGGCACTTTTAGGAAAAAATTTTACCAAAAAAAAATTGCATTTTTTCGGCGCGAGCTTCCCCCTCAAAATAAGTATATTTTGGCGCCGACGGCGCTTTTAGAAAATTTTAGGGTCCGTCAACCAAAATTAAATGTATCCTAACGCTGCTTGAATTGTTTCATGACATACGAATACTAGTGATAAACAGCTCCCGATTGAAGATTTAAAACCATTTTGTTAAGGTGATGATTACTCAAGCTAGCTACTGAGCGTAGTGCATATTACGAATAATTTTTTTTTACCCAGCTTGTAAATTAAAGAGCTCATTTGGTAGAACTTTTGCTTCATAGCATTCGCAATTAATTAGAATCTGTTGTTCCTACTTTATTGATGGCTAGGGTTTGCCGATTGTCTAGCGACCATGTTGCAGATGCGAGGATGTGTGGCTGTTAATCTCGAGGCCGGGGTTATGATTCCGGCAGAACAGAGTGCAAGGCTTGTGTTTATCTTTTCTTCCCTTATTTCACTTTCTTTAAACCTTTATAGAGCTATTTTTACCGTTTTTTCGCTAGTGTTTGCAAGTGCAGCTTTGCCTTTATGTTACGATTGCGATTAACAACAAGCGTTATCAAATCGAAACATTTGTGTTTTCCAGGCTGACAACTTGTATAACAGAATCAGTAAATCAATTGTTAGTCTGATGTACGAGGACCTGTTTTTTTGCAAGCGGGAAAAATTTAATCTGAAAAAAATTTTGCGCTATCAAGTCTCGGTTTATTTTGGTCGGCCTAAATTCCAAAGCCAGAAGTTTTCTTGAATAATCAGCTACTTTTACTAATTGAGAATGCCATTTTGTTGATTTTTATGGTCCAATTATTTCAGGTTAATGTTATTTTGCTTTATTTTGTTTTTTTTTCAAAATTGAAAAATTGAACTTTTCTATTGTACCATTTAATTTTGCGTGTAATCTTAAACAAATCAATGAATCGAGATTTGTGTTTTGAATTCTCGTAAATTTTAAATTCTGAATATAAATTATGAATAAAAAAGGTGTCTCATTTTTCTTGAAAATTTCTAATTTGGGTGGTTGAGTTTTTGCAATAATTTAAGATACACATTTTTTCATGATTACACAAACAATAATTGTTATAGTAGAACTGTTCAATTTTTTTTCAAAGATTGATTGCTTTAGGGTTTTAGTGAATTGGTCGTGATTGCGCTGAAAATTTTTTCCTAGAACGTTGTTCAGACTCTTATATAGGTCGTGATGATATTTTTAAACGTTTTTTTTTTGAGGAAACGTCTTAAAATGCTCTAGTAACTACCGGAGTGCATTCAAACATTTCAATGCATTTATGAATGCACTTTGGTATATATGCACTTTTTGAGTTCAATTGAAATTCATCTGCTAAAAGGCTATCCAAATACGAACGTGCCAAAATTTTGAAGCGGGTGGTGCAGTAATCTTTTAATTTTGCATCGATTTCTTCGCTGGTATTGTGAAATGTAGATAACGAGTCTTGAATCTCTTATTCATGTCTAGTGGGCTTTTTCAATTTTTTTCAACTTTTGATGAGCTGAGTTATGAAGTAATAGTTTTGTGACTCAGCCCATATAATATAAGTTGAAACCAAATAAGCCAAATTAAAAAATTGACAAAATAAAAAATTTACACAAAATCGGGGTTGGTAAATTTATAAATTACAGGAATAGAGTGAAATTTGCCTAAATACAAGTAAATTCGCGCTGCGGAAACAAAGCCCATAAAAATTACGATCGATAGGCCGATAGCGGATAAACGATTGACCGACAAATTTTTTCACAGAAATATTTTTATGTAGGCTAAATGAAACAGGTTATGGCCGGACTCTAACTCAGAGTGTTTGTCGTCACAGGCATATACTTAACCGCCAGGTATGCTGAAGATTTATAAATTTTGAATTTACAATAAAGTACACATTCGAAATGATTCAATGATTTTGTTAGACAAGTTGTTTTCCCGAAAAAGTTTTTAGTCCGATTTAATAGCGGTTACTAATCACACGCGTAAGGTAATGATTAAATACTAGCTGTAATGTTTTTTTTTTCGCAGAGAGTTCGACGTAAAACTAGTGGTTTGTGTGTAATGATGTATTTTAGAATTTATTGACTATTGATAGAATTAGTTGCATTAAAAGTGAGAGTCAATTGTTCTCCGAAGTTTGAAATCTATGACCATATTCGCACAGTGCAGTCGGATGAACCTGACATCAAGTAGTCTCCTTCCCGAGAGAACACACAGGATTGAACTGTGTCTTCATGTCCGCTTAAGCTCAAGACTTTGTCACTTTCCAGGTCGATCATCTTGATGCCTCCATCACTGCTGGTCAGTGCCAGAACGGAGCAGCCGGGGTCGAAGGCAGCTTTGTTGCAGGGATAGGGGCCCACTTCGATAGTCTTGATCGGAGAGACAGTTCTGACATCCCACAGTTTGACAACGCCATTGGAGTCACAGGATGCTATGGTCTCGCCTCTGAAATCAGTTTAATGAAAACGTGAAAACTTGGATTCGATTTTTTCTGACTGATACTGAATTAATTTTCAAGCTTTCTGTTAATTTATTGGCTCTAGGCATCTTTAGTCATTTGGTTTTTCATTTAGCTTGAAAGTTGGATGTTATGGTTGTTTACTAAAGCGTGGCCAGACATGGCAGTCCATAGCGGAGAATACTTCAAAAACATCTGAGCAGCATAGATAATAATTAGGAGTCTGTTTTTTGGTACCGAATGTTGAAAGTAGCATCATTGACAGAGTGCATATGTCCGTAGAATGTCTGAGCACATAGTGCAGTTCTCGCATCCCACAGGGAGACTGTCTTGTCTGCGGAGGAGCTGCAGAGGGTGTTGGAGTAGCTGAGGAACTGGACTGAGTTGACCGAGTCACGGTGGCCTCGCAGTGTCTGTCGGCACCGTAGGGAGTTGAGATCCCACACTTTGACAGTGTTGTCAACCGACCTGAAAGTTGTATATACATTCCAAAAAAGTCACATCGGCACATTAGGTGACTTGAATCACAACGTCTACTTGAAATTACAGGGCAATGAGTAGGACGTTTTTCTGTTCTTTCCTGTCAAAATTTCTTGACTATTGAAAATTGAATTGTTAAGGATGTATACTCGCCATGTTTTTTCGGTGAAAATAGTGCGTTAAAATTATTAGCTGATATTTTTATTGCGAACTAGTTTTTGTCTTCTTACGAGCTGGCGACGAAGTGTCCTGAGTGGTGATAGGAGACAGCCCAGACAGCGAACTGGTGTTCTGCGAAAGTGTGCACACATCTGCCCTCCTCGAATGACCAGATCTTCACCGTGCTGTCCCCACTGCAAGTGGCCAGTCTCTCACCGTCGTAGGAGAAGTCGCACCCCGACAGCCACTCGCTGTGACCTTCTCCTGTCATGGCTATGTCTCCTGTAGGGATCTGAACACATCAAATTTTATAGTTCAATGGTCGATAAAGTTAATAGTTATGGCTGTTACTTATGTCATTCCTGGTCAAGGGTAATTTTATTGTGCATCATTCCTGGTCAAGTGTAATTTTATTATGCTTTCTGTGTCTGTAAGAGTTGTACTTAGCTTGGTCCAAAAATTTACCGGAACTGAAATAGTTATAGATTTGACTGGAATTCAGTGAGAACGTTCAATTTCTCCATTTTTTGAGATTATCGATTTCAAAAATAAAAGTGGAGTGCAAAATTTTAAAGGTATTATAAATGTTTTCTACCTGCCACATTTTCCACGTGCGATCATCGCTCGTTGTGACTAGAAGATCTTCTTTTGGATGCAGCGCCATGGAGCTCACAGGAAGTTCGTGCGCTTGGAAGGTGTGAGTCAATCTGAAGCCACCAACCCTGGTCAAGTGGGCACTCGGAGCAATGACCTTTGCCAAATCGGGGTTGAAACCTTTGTCTTTTGGCCATGGAGTATCGTCAGCATTTCGAGGTAGTTTAATATTCGCTACGTCCATAGGATCCAATGTATTAGGCTTTGCAGATGCCAGTTCACTTTTTCGACTTTCGTAGAGTCTTTGCTGGGTGCCTCCCAAAGTACTATCAACTCGGGTCAAGGCATCTGGAGTCTTTGAAAGCTTGCCTGTAATCCTGCCTCCCTCGGGAATGTGCATTGCGCTGTCAGACCTAATGTTGTTAACAGACTTTAGAGTGGCTTGAAGTCCTGAGACTTGGCCTAGAGCTCTGTCTCGTTCTAGTTTGCTGAGCATCTTCTCTCTCATAGCCGTTTCGTACTTTTTCTTTAGGTGTTGCAATGCGGGCTCATAGGAGTCGTAGTGTTTTCGGAGCTTCGTTAGATTGTCAATCAAAGTGTTCTTCTCTTGTACAACTCGCCTATGGTGCATTCGGTGAAAGTCGCGCTCTTTCCTCATTTTTATGAAGTTATCCTTGGCTCCTGCTGCAGCTTCTTTGAAGCGTTCTAGTTCCTGTTTTAGGTACTGGTTTTCGTGATCCAGTTGACTGTTCTTAATATAAACATCTGGTACGGTCCCCATATCGGAGCTGGATAGTTTTCCTTTGTGTTTTAACTCGTACCACTCGTGTTGAAAGGAGTCCAGTGTTCGCCACATGTTGTTCTTCACGAGGAAGTTCCGTACGAAATCATCGACTACTTCTGGTCTATAAGTGAGAGTGGCCTCTGGAATGGGAGGGGGAGTAAGGCGTCCTTTTTGAAGGTCTTTATCAGTCGAGGCCTCTTTTAGAATCTGAACAGCCATGTTGAGATCCTCGTCTCCTAGAACATAAAAACGATTCAACGATGCATCTGGTTTTACCTTCTCCCGGTTTGTGTTTCAAAACAGCTCATTCCCTCTCCCATAAAAGCATCCGTTTTATTGAATAACGAGTGGTTTAACAAGGTTGATATGATGACAAAATATGTTGAACATGCTTTCTTAGTTTTTATGCCAGTTTTAATCGGACTGAAGAGAAAAAGCCCTGAAAACTATGCTTGCTTAGTAGAAATAGTTCAGGTAAGTTTTTTACCTTCGTACTGAATGAGTGCCTCGTCATCGTCAATGTGCACTTCCTCGTAGTTGATCTCCTGGTCTGACTCCGGATCTCCGGGAATGGTAGCTGGCTCCAAGTAGTACGCCTCATCCTCTCTCTCACCTGCTACTCCTCCCATGCCAGATGCAGAAGCAGTTGCCATATTATGTATCTATCAAATGACCTTTTTTGCAGTTTCCCAACAACAATTGTTTTGTTTATCTGGTTTAGAAGTCTCGAAGGTATGTTTTGGTAGTAGAAATCCGGATCTACTTAACAATATCCCCCCTATGGTACCTACTTAAAAATCTCCACCCCTATAAATAAATACAGTAAATTAGGACTGAGCTTTCTATTGAGAATTGTAATTTTGCTGAATTCTGATTGGTCGAAAAATCGACCTTTTTGATCTAGTTGACAATCTTACTCCCCCATTTCTTGAAAGGAGTGGAAATTGTAAAGTAGATCCAGCAATCCTAACAATGTTTAACTAAACTGTCATTTACCTTATGTGCTTTTTTAAAATAGATTTATCTATTGTTTGGGCATGTTGAGGTCTGCAGCTCAAACTCTTCTACAGGTCTACCTCCTAATGTTTTATCAATATTCCATAAAACTTAACTGATCCTCCTAGTTTTTTTGTTGCTCGGAGGAATATGAAATACCAAGTAGTATCGTGGAGATCGACACTAATTTTCTTGATAGATGGGAAACTGAAAGCCAGTGTAATATACTTCTAGATATCGAATGTAAATATAGAAGGTGTGTGTAATTATTGAATGTTCAGGTAGATTGAATGGCTGCAGTGCTTTCAAAAGAGCTGATACAATGGTTTGTGAATGTTTTTTTACTTTAACCACAGTTTTGTGCGGAGGATTTTATATAAAAACGCACGTGCTGAGTGAAACCGAATATTTTTTATTCTTTACCAAAGAGGTTACCAAACAAAAACGTCGTTATAGGAATGGCTCTACACTGGTGTAGAAACTTTTTCACGTCCTTTTTGATAGAAGTTTTTTAAATCAAGAGACGACAAACTAAGCAGATTGTACCAAACATTTATACGGTCACAGGACTCTTCTGAACTCATCTCTTTATGGTACCTTAGTTCATAATGAATTCAAATTTCTAGGGTACACAACCTGGAGGTAGAGACTACGCCTGGGACGGCAAGGATCCTGGGTTTGAATCTGACCAGGACCTGTTTCTTGAACGGGAAATATTCTGTTTCAAATAAAATTGTCGACCTTCTAGTTGAATAGTTTTTTTTTTGCTGTCTGCGTTTTGCTTGTAGTTGTTTCAAGTGTTTTGTTTTGCTCCTGTAATTCGTAATTTTACTTATCGTCACTTCGTCTTTCCTGTTTTTTTTAGAAACTACATTCGACCCAAATTATTTATATCTATATTTTATTGGCTTTGTGACCTAATTATGGGTCCTTTCGAGGGAAATGCAATTCTTATGCTCCCGTCTGGGTCGCACCAAATGCTAAGTCTTTAAATAGAACTTATATTTCAAAGTTTTTCATTACAGCAAATTTGTTTCGGTTCTACTAGAATTTCCCAGGTTTTGTCGGCTCAGGCAAATATATCCAAACAGACATTTTTTAAAGTTTTTTTTGGAATCAAAATCACAACTATCAGTTCTTTAATGTGATACAACCCGGACACGTACGACTCTTTTTCGATGTATTTAAAATTGGGCGGAAAAAATACACCCTATGTCATAGTTTTTTGCGACCCCTTTGGGAAAGGTGGTCGGAAAAAGAAAAACGAAAAATTGAAAATAGCCAAAGTTTCACAAAAATTCAGTTGGTATTAAGAGTAATGAATGTAGTGAGTACTCCTTTATAGATCTTGGTCACTTTTTTGTTCTCGCTCAATTTCGATTGTTCACGCTCAATATTTGTTCACGCTTAATATTTGTTCTAGCTTAATATTTGTTCACGCTCAATTTCGATTTTTCGCGGTTTGACTTTTAATTTCTTTTCAAATACCCTTCACTTTCTTTTTTTTAAAAAAAAAAGAATGCACACTCCTTATCAAACAGCAAAAATGGAAAGATCGCAAAACGTGTGGATTGACATCTAATTTTGAAAATGGAATTAGATCATCAGATTTCCGAGTGAAATAAAGGGAGCGTGGAAGTTGGCTGTGGAAGTCGACGGACAAGCGACCGAAAAAAAGGTCAATATGATTCTCTCGAATGAAATAAAATCGTGGTTCATTTCAACCTTATTCATTATATACTGATCAACATTTTTTAAATTCTCATGATGGATAAAAACATTCGAATCGTGTTGTTTTAACCGTCAAGTGGAAACCGCAAATATCGAGATGCGACGAGAAAAAAAGATTTGGCTGAAAAAATTATTCGGTTTTCAGACAAAAACTTTTTTGGTTCCTTCTTTCCAGTCGAATTGTTTAAGATTAATGAACATAGTCAGATTAATGAACAGAAGCAAATCTCCCTCTCCAATTAGAGACTTATAATATATATATTTTTGTGAAATTCGAAGTTGAAAATTTGTCAATCCTTTTTGTAGGTTTCTAAGAACGTAGAACGTAGTGAATACTCTTATATAGATCTTGCTGATTTTTTTTGTTTGTTTTTTCTTCAGGAAAAAGTCTTAAAATTTTTTCACGCTCAATTTTGATTTTCGCGGTTTGACTTGTGATTTCTTTTAAAGTTCAGTGCATTTCCATTGTTAATAGGAAGGCAAACTCAAGTATCGAACAGCAAAAATGTGAAGATCACGAAAAACGTGGTCGACTTCTGATTTCGGAAATGGAAACTATCAGATTTCCCAGTGAAATAAAAGTTTACCTATTGATCCAGTATCATCAAATTAGGGTTTTTAAGTCAAAAAGGGTCAAAACTAAATTGATCGTGAAATTGGCAGAGCTGTAAGGGCATCTATTTTTTCTTCAAAATTCGCAAATTGATGTTTTAAAACAAGTCATTTTTTTTTCTGTTTCCTTGCGTTAATTGTTCTTTTCCCATTTTCAGTTGGTATTTTTTTGAATTATCATTAGACACCGTCGATTGCCTTTCGGGACGTGTTTTCAAGTTTTAAGTTTTTTTCAAAATGTTTTCATTTTTTTTGTACGTAATGGCTTTCCTTTCTGTCTGCTAGCGTGGAATGCTGTTTTTGTGTGGAATCGAAATTGGTGCGAAGCACAGCTTCGCTTCTGTGTTTAAATATTTCTTTTTAATCTTTCTTCTATATTCCATTCTTAGGCTGGTGATTATAATAGAATATAGAATCAAGTTGGAATATCAATTCGGATATTCGTCGTCAAGATTTATCAAATCGGGATATAGACTTTATTGGTTTAAAATAGTATAACAAAATCACTTAAATCAGTCGGGGCTTAACTGTTTGTAAGAAATGTCGGGCCAAATGTTTTTTGAGCATATCTGCATTTTAACTTGCGGTTGTTTTCGATTTTTTCTTTCATAGTTGGCTGTAAACTGTTTTTAACTTTTTTTTTCTATTTGAGCTGGTTAGTTTTAGTTTTTTTTTTTGCATTAAAACTTATTTGGCTTTGAATGCCTTCGGCAGCAGTTATAACTGTTTTGTTTAAAAGGCAAAAATATGAACCGTGTTTAGACGCTGTCAGAATGCAGTTTTTTTCCAGTTTTTTTTCCGAGGCAAACGTCAGATGCTTTTAGACAGAAGCTGGCTAGAAATCTGAATTAATTTTATTATGTAGCAGAGTAGTTTTTTATATTCCTTTTTAAGTTGAGGGAGACGTATATAAAGTCTAGTTAAGACTCTTAGCTTTCCAATGAATTTTTCACCAAATTTCGTACTGCTTTGCTGTTTAAGGGGGCTTTTTGGCACTAAGAATACTTCTCTAACACCCTCTAACTGAATGGCCAAACAACGCCTTGAAAAGTAATATTTTACGGTTTTTTATTTGGCTGTATTTTGAGAAACAGTTTCATTCATCATATGTCAAAATTTCAACCGTTTATGTCTAGTAATTGTTGAGAAAACGGCAAATGTGAAACAATTTTTGTTCTTTTTGTTATGAAAATTAAAAGTTGCAGATTCTATGTCTGGTGAATGTAGCAAAAATTTGAAGAACAATTTTTGAAAGAACCATTTGCTTTTGAAGCTATATATTTTTTGATTTTCTGTTTTGGTATAATAACCAGAAAAGATTGGGTCGCATAGCACTAGCAATATTTGCAGTGAAACCCAAGATGAAAATCTAATACTTTTAAAACTAGTCGCTCTATTTTCTCATAAGCTTTTTTTGCCGAAGTATGCCATCTCCTGGTATCTAGTTTGGGTTAAAATAAGTATATTAATTCATCAAGTGTTCAATGAATGCCATTAAAATGGACAATCAGTGCGCTAACTCATTCTGAAATGATCATTATATGCATTTTTTTTTGTTTCAGTTGAAGGCAATGAATGGCTGCAGATGTGACTGAAGCTTTTTCCACCTACAGAAATTTACAGACCCGTTTTCATCATCCAACCAATGTTTCCTCTCATGGTAGCTCATCTAATCTATCAACAACCTCAGATAGCACCGAAACCGGATCTACAGGAGACTCAAAACATACCGGGGATTCTCGATCGACTTTTGAAATCGGAGATGACGGCGACACTGTGCTCGGAGGCGAAAACAGTATCAGTTCCCCGGAAAATTGCGTCTATTTCGTGACAAGCAAACCAGAAGGCAAGCTACTTTATCTAGATACCAATTCAAAAGCTCTACAGGAATTCCCAAACATTCCAGAAGATTCTAGTACTCGTGAGTCTGGTGGATCTCTAAATATCATATCGTGTTGTCCACAGAAACATTCCATTTGGGCTCTGACGGACGATGGATCTGTTTACATGTACCAGTTTCCGACCACTTCTAGAATCAGACATCAAGTACACACCTATGAGAATCAGAGATACAGGCCATTTATGGGAGGATGGACGTCGAAGTTACTGGCGCTTGACAGGTTGGTAGCTTGAGTTGTAATAATGTTTGGATAATTTGTGAAGTACTCTACTGACGAGCGAGATTATAAGGTGCTACCTGTCAAGGTTGCTTTGTTTTGCGGATAATTTGTAAAGTACTCTACTGACGAGCGAGATTATAAGGTGCTACCTGTCAAGGTTGCTTTGGTTTGCCAAGCTACAGGATCGAAGTTAAGAGAAAAGATGTTTTTAATGGTTTCTGTCTAGGTACCCGTGGAGCAGCAAAGGTGGTCATAAGTCGCTTCCCAAAGACTCCTTCCGTCTCCTTAGTCCAGATTGTTGGCAGTGGGAGGGAGCGTGGAAGTTGGCCGTGGTAGTCGACGGACAAGCCACCGAAAAAGGTCAATATGGTTCACTCGAATAAAATTAAATCATGCTTCATTTCAACTTTTTTCATTATTTACTGCTCAATTTGTGTTTTACTCTTGAAGATGGGTAAAAAAAATTTGAATCGTGTTGTTTTAATCGCCAAGTGGAAACCCAAAACATCGAGATGCGACGCGAAAAAAAAAGATAAGCTGAAAAAATTATTTGGTTTTCAGACAAAAACAATTTTTGATTCCTTCCTGTCGGTCGAAGTGCTTTTAACTACAGCCCACATGGTTAAGTAATAATGTTTATATCATAAGAGAAGCTGGCTAACTTCTAATCTGCGGAGATAACTCTCCAAGTCCACTTCTTCTCTTTAGGATCTCCCTCTTGCATATAATTATTTTTGTCTGATTAATTCAAATATTTAAATTGACTTCTGGCCCTCTCAAATGTTAGAAAGTATCAAAAGTGGCAATGTTAGAAGTTATTGCTGCGCCTTTAGATGGCTGGCAGTTCGCAGGAAACTTCACCAGTGCTGCTTTTGGAGCTCAAGGAATGCTGACTGCGGTTCGAAGGAGAAAATGGGTTCGATACATGACCTTCTCCAAGTACAGCCAATGGTTCAAAATCGAACTGCCATCTAAAATTTCAACCTCATATCCGATTCAGCCAGGCTCAAATTCTTCTAAGAACTTCAAAAGGGAAGTTGTTTGTCTGTCTGTCGGTGGATCCAGACTCAACGGAGCAGTTAAAGGTCATCTGTCAGTTTGGGTTCTGACTTCAGATAACCGACTTTTGTTTCGTGAAGGTGTTTGTGCCACGAGACCTGAAGGCAGTCACTGGCGTGTAGTCGAATCCTTGATTGAATCTATCAACCAAATTACAGTAGGACCATCTGGGGCGACTTGGATTGTAACGTGGAATGGGAATCTGTTGGTCCGTAAAGATGTCAACGCAAGGAGTCCCTGGGGATCCAAGTGGATAACTCTAGTGGCAAGCGAAGACAAAGTTGTCCCTAGGTTAAGAGTCTTCAATTAGTTTGTATCATTTAAGTTTGCTGGCGTATTTATTTAGTCGAATAAAAGATACTGATTAGTATTCACGGAGTTTGTTCATTTAGCTTCCAAATGAATTATAGGACACCAAACTTTCCTCTTGCTGACCCATGTTGGTCAGAATCATGAAGACTCATTTGAAAAGATTGAAATATAACTATACCCTGCAAGTTTTATTTTTCTTTGTCAGTTTTTTTAATTAAGTTTGCAAAGTAGTGTAATTTTTTGAATCTCGGTTTTTTTAGGTTTCAGAGAGTGAGTCTTGGAGAGAAGAGTGCGTGGGCTATCTCTGCTAATGCCCAAAAGGTATACTACTTGCCGAACATCGAGGCTAAATTCATAGACTACAAGTGGATACCAGTTGTAGGAGACATGTTTGGAGTGTATGTCGGCTTAAACAACCAAGTATGGGCCGTGCCTCTTCTAGAAAGATCTGGAATATTCTTCAGAGATAAAGTGAACACGGAAGAAATATGCGGTCGTGGATGGAAGAAAATGGAAATCGATTTCAATGACGTCATTTCCTGTGGGTCCAATGGAGATATTCAGCAATCATCAAACAGTATCATTAGTGAACGCACAACTTGTAAAATTAGAGAGGTTTCGCCCACATCCTTTGAGTGGGATCCGGCTACAGCTTTCAGTTGCTTTTCGAAGTCTGCCAAATTTAATATTCAGCCAAATCTTCGCAATGAAATAGTGGCGAAACTTCTTTCCATTAAATTGAAACAAGAGGTTCCGTTTGCTTCTAAAACAGAGTACGTGAGAAATCAAATCGTGGAATCTAATGGCAGTGTAATTGAGAATAGAGAACGACTTAGCAGAGAGGTATCTACAGATATTATTCTCTCGAAAAATAGGCTGAAAATTGCAGATACGTTCTCAAAATGTCAAGTATCAGTGAGATCACAGAACGATACAAACGATGAGTTTCTCCATTTCCAGTTTCAGGAAAATGACGAAAATTCTGCTTTTATTGAATTATCCAAAATAGTTTGCGTGAGACAGAAAAACGATCTTGACAATCCAACTTTGATTATTAATTTCGTGCCTTATACGACCAATTCAGGTGTGTTTCATGTTATCTTTCAGACATTCAAAGACTTATTCTTGTGGGAAGAAGATTTGAGGGTTTTCCTGGAGATATCCCAAAAACAAGCAAACTCAGAAAGTAGCATATCGCATGAAAAGTTTGAAAATCCAATGTTTTTCATTGATAACTTGGGAAGTTCTTTCGTTCATTTTCCTTTGAAAGACTTCACAAAAACTATAACCTGGGAAGCGATGGCTGGCCATTGGTCGAAGATAATTTGTTTTGGTGAGCTGATTTTTGGCCTAACAGATGACAAATCTGTTTGGGTAATGGCAAACCATGAACTGAAAAGAGACCAAAATGGTTCTTTCACGGAAAACCAGACAGATTCTATTGCAGTGACGGTTTTTGAAATAGAAACGTGGAACGTTGCTATCGGATACCGAGGAAAGTACTTTGAATGCATTCCCAAGACCTTCTGGAACGAAGGTATGGCTTTAAAAAGACCGGAATGCCTGAAAGATCTAAGCTGCGTCCAGTTACCGAACACTCGATGGGAATGGAATAGCGAATGGTTTGTGGATTATTCATTTGCTGATCGAGATGGATGGTCCTACGGTTGGGACCTGGAGAACCCTGGATGTTTTCATGCCGTCCCTGCTAGAGGAGATATTTACAGAAGGCGGCTGCATAAAAGATTGTGTACATTCAAGCAGAAAAGTGGTTGGCGAATTCTTAATAGAAAACCAGCGATTGTAGAAATGGCGGCTAGTAACATGAAGAGCAAGCGAGGAACGTTACTGGACGAGTTATCCCAGTCGAAAGTGTCTAAATGCTTCTCGTCCAAAGATTCAATGTCATCATCTGAGCATTCTAACAGTCATGCTAACAGGTACGGCCGTTTTTTTTGGCGGTAGATCTAACATAAACGGAAAACTGGAAATTTTATGACCGCGGGTTTTCAAAAAAACTCAGATTCAACATCAAAACTTGTCAGATTGTCATCGGTCTAAATCTATTCAAAGGCAATTTATATCCACCAGGAATTTTGTTTAACTTTAGGCTTTCCGAGAGTCGATCGCTCTTCAAATGGGAATTTTTGATGGAATTTTGCTTTTGAAGAGTTATAAAACCACTGCCTTACATACCTAATGAAAGAAGTAAAATAAGTTAAATACAGATTAAATAAACTATCATGGCCATGGCGGCTGAGTTTGCTCACAAACAAAGTTTTTCCTTTTATTGCTTTTTTTCGTTGCCTTGGCAAATTAATAGTGAGGAATAGACTCTTTTTGGTTTTAGGTCCTCCTCGAACTTCTGGGCGTTGGACGAGGATGGCAATGTGTTCTGTGCTATGTTTGACTATGACAAGGTGGATGGCAATGTGAGCGGGGAGGAGAGATGGGATTGGAGTGAGTGCATCAAGTGGAGACCATTACTGCCGACACTGACCCAACAGGTGGACAACCATCAGATGATGTCCATCACGGCACTGGACTACTCGGGAGGGTAATTACATCAAATATTTTGACCGTTTTTCGAATTTCTTCCTTTTTTCGAAATTTTTCCAGACAAAATTGCAAACACTAGAGTAAGGAATCCAAATTGCATAAATGGATATGACCAATTTTTTTTAAAAAGTTATGGCCATAGAAAATGTCCAATTTGAAAAATTTGATGCTTTTTTGGAAACTTTTTAATTTTTCTCAACAACTACCCCACGAAATCTAAGGTTAAAGGTCCAATTGAAAGACCATGCGCTACTTTCTCTTCATAGTGGCGACGCCCTAATTGCTAAAGAAAAGTTATGTAAGATTTTGCAAAGTCCATTTGAAGTTTTAAATTTTTTTTTCAAATTAATTTTCGGATTAGTACAATTTAAAAATATACTATGAAAGAGGTATTTCCAACTCCAGCTTGGCCGCTAGTATTTAGTTGCTAAGAAGCGATTTTGGCGCAGGTGCGAGGACATGTGACGTTGAATCTCGAAGTCGTTGATTCGATTCCGGTACATATCAGAATTAATTTTTTCGTTTCTTTCGTTTATACTTAATGACCACTTTTAGAGCTAATTGTTGCACTTCAGATAGATACTTTGAACGGCTGGAATTTTCCGAAGGACATCACTTCCCATTCAGATAAATTAGTTAGCAATAAATCATTATTTGACTGATTTTAGATCAGTTATTGTGTTCTCAGAAGAAAGTTTACTAGGATTGACAATCATTTTATTCATCAGCAAAAAAATTTGCTTTGCTAGTTTGACATTGCTTGGGAAGATTATATATTGAAGTTGGAAAAAAAATCTTAAGATTGATCCTTGTATGACTGCAAATTTAATTAGCAGTTTTTCTGAAGGCAGAAGATTTTCTGTAAAGTATTGATGCCGAATTCTTGAATAGGTTTTCATTATTTCAATTTTTGTTCCTCTAGAACAATGTCACGCCAACTTTTGTAAATTTTTTTGATGATCTGGAATATCGAACGCCTTTTCGAAGCCTTCTGTTTTCTCGCATAAACTCGGTGATTTCTGTTAATGCATGAGTGCTGTGAAGGGAAACCCAACTGTGACTTGGAAAAAAGCTTCATCTTTCAAAAAAATATTTTCCCAATTTTTAAAACAAGGCTTTCTTGAAATTTTTGCTCTGCGAATTTAAAAGACTTTCAGGTCCACATTTTTCACGCTTTTTTTGTTTTCGACTGTTTTATAAAGGACAATTTTTTGCGAATTTTAGGCGATCGGAGATGGTGAGCTCGTTGATTGATTTTTATTAGCAATGGCTAGATGCTCATCAATAACCGGTGAACACAATTTAAGAATTGTCTTACTAAAACCATTATGAACAAGTTTTTCAAATTTTCATTTGTTTGGTTTTCTTTTATATTTGAATAAGATAACCATTAAAGTGTTTCGAGTTCAATATAATCCATGCGGGGTAATTGTTCAGACAATTACCCACAATAAATGCAAAACGTTTATTTAAAACATGCAAGGGTGCTGAATTGGTTTTTGAGTTAAGTTTATTATGTTTTTTTTTTGAAGATTGATAAACTGTTCTTAAATTTGAGCTGTCCTGAGTATTTTTTCATCGTTTCCTTTTTCAGCTGTTTGAGTTAGTTTGATCACTTCGTTCCTCAGTTTTATGTATGAATACAACTGGTGCATATACAAAACAGTCCCATACAAAACAGTCCAATACAAAATTTTTCGAAAAATCAAGTAAGGGAGGAAAAAACAGTCCATTGCAAAACAGTCCGGTTTAAGGTCGCCGGTGGGCGATAACCGGCTCTAATTTTCGTATTAAGTCCTACCCTCTGTTGACAAGCTCGCAACACGTTGGCGCGACTGCGGCGGCCACCATTTTGTTCATTATGTTTGTTGAACAAAGGACAATTCTCGGCCAACCGGCTTGTTAAAACAATAATTACATGGGACTGTTTTTCGAACTGTTTTGTATTGGACTGTTTTTTCGTTCATTTTCATACTTTCTCGGATTGATTTGTATTGGACTGTTTCGTATGGGACTGTTTTGTACAGACATGGTTACAACTCTGTTCACCTGGATCCTATATGTTTTTTGTTGACGTCGATCAACCGAGCAACTAGCTATCCTTGTTTCGTCGTCGCTCAGTGTGGGAAGCTAATGAAGCTAAATCTGTCGTGGCCACGTGGGGTAAGGCAAGCGTCTCGCAACACGAGGGTCGTTGGTTCGAACACCACTTCGGTCTCGGTTGGTGGGTGTGGGACCGTCTACGGTGAAATGGTTGTCATCCACCCTTCACCACGGTTGGTCCTGAACTGAGTAGGACCGGTCAGTAACAAATGAAGTGAAATCATTAGGTTTTTGTTTGATTCATTCGCTGGATTTGGTTGCTTGTTTTTCAGACTTTTAACTTCGCTTTTGTGCAGTAGCGGAGTTGGGGGGAAAGGCAAACGCCCTCCTCCCCCCCACTCAGGGATTCGACCCCCTGCCGACCCAAAGGGACCCCTTGGCACTGTTTTGAGGCATCCATTTTGGGCTGATGGATCCCTAAATTTTTTCTAAAGGCGTTTTTGGCACCTATATTTACTAATTTTGAGGGTGAAGCGCGCGCCAAAAAAATGCGAGTTTTTGATCACACTTTTTCAAACGCAGAAATTTTGGCCAAAACAGGGCCTTTTTAGCGCTTTGGGTGAGCTCACAAAATCACTGTAGTCAACCTAAAAAAATTGTTCAACAAAGTTTTTTGAAAATCCGCCCCCTCGAGAAAATCTTAAATCAGCCCCTGCTTTTGTGTCATGGGACTTAATTGTGATGACACAAAAGCAGGGGCTGATTTAAGATTTTCTCGAGGGGGAGGATTTTCAAAAAACTTTGTTGAACAACGAGAAAAACTGTGTAGAAAAAGACATGACGAGATTAGTCAACTGGGTCAATCGCAAATAATCAAAACAAGTAGAGACTGATGTATATCTTTTACCTTGTTTAAAGCAAGTAGTACATTTCTTGCGAAATAGTTCACTAGTCCAACAAAGCAGGCCAAAGAAAAGGTTTCTTTTCGATTTGTTTTTTGTTTTGAATTTGAGTTTGCAGCTACATGACAACAGCAAATGAATACTATTATCAATGCCTGGAAGGTGACCCATAGAGAATTTCATCTCGTCGACTGGGTCACCTCGAGAGCTTAAAGAGCAGAATCATTGAGACAATGAGCAGTTTGTATAAATATTCATTATCAAAAAGATAATTATCGAAAAAAGAATCCATAAAAAGTTTCAATTCTTTCTTATCAAACATGAAAAATTTTGAGGGAGTAAGTTGTATTGAAAAACAAAAATGTAAGCTAAAGTTGACCCACCTCGAAGTGAGAATTTCTTGGTATTTGATTTTTATCCTACATTTGTAATTAATTTTTCTGTCTTTGTGTTTGTTTGAGGAAGTCTTGGTAGACTCGTTAAATCTAAGAATTTTTTGTGTTTGTGTACCTTAATTACCCTTGCGATCAGCAAAGGTATTGCAATCGGGTACTAGACTTTTTTTCCCGTAAACAGCTTTATCCACAAGACTCTTTTCTGGACTCCTTCACCTCTTCGTCCTTTTTGCAATTCCTACTCCTCCTACTCTCGGTTGCAAATATTAAAATATTAAGCATGGTTGACGGTTGACTATGTTGTTTTAAATATCCGTCGTTTTCAAACTTTTCGTTTTATGTTGGTCGTGATTTTTCCATCTAGATTTGTTAAATTTTGGATTATTTTATATCAGCTTAGTAGCCTGATTTTGAGTAGTTTCGAGGGAAACATAAATTTTATGCTCACGCCTAAAGCGGCTGAATAAGTTTCGGTCTATGTAGTATTGGTTCAATTGCGCCTTTCGATTGGCGAATAAAGTTTGTGTGTGCGTGTCTGTGTTTTGAGGGCAAGAGGACCTAATTACTTCTTATTAGTCTTAAAAAATTTTGATTTTTTTTCTACTTTTTTGATTTTCCTTTTTTTGGCTTGATAGGTTCGCCCTATATTAAATCGGCTAAGTGGCCTCATATTGCGTCGTTTCTCGAGCTGTGTATGTGTTTTGAGGGTGAGGGGACTTGATAACTTTTTATCAGTCTTAACTTTTAAAAAAAATTTCGGCTTTGTTTTTTTATTATCCTTTTTTTCTTCGGCTTAATAGGTTTCGGCCAATATTATAACGGCATAGTGGCCGCATATTGACGCGTGAATGAAGTTTGTGTATGTGTGTGCGTGTGTTTGTTCGTTTGTCTGTTTGAGGGTGTGGGGGGTTTGATTTTTTTAAGAAATATCTGTTTAAAGTGTATCTGGTTTTCGGCTTTGTTACCGCTTGATATTTTTCTTCAATGCTAGTTTCACATTCTATTGTCTTTGTTCGTTTTTTTTTCAAAATTAGTCTTATCGATAGATCTAGTTTTTTCAAAACTTATTAGTTTTTTTTTTACTTAGCAGCTTTCTTGTTTTGTATCGCACGTGGTGCGAAGCTCAGCTTCGTCTCTGTGTCTAACAACTAATTTTGCTGAAACAAAGTTGAAAAAAAAAGAAACGATTTAAGTGTCATTCATGTATTTATTGGGGAAATGGCTGGTATAATACGTTTTTAAAGTTTTACTATTGAATCAATATGTGATTTGTAAGTATTTTTGTAATTAAGAAGGCCATACTGTGTCTTGGATTTGGCATATGATTTGTAAAACATCAAAAGATTTTGTTTGGAAAAACGTCATTTAAATACAATTCCGCTAAATGCAGACAATTTTTTAACAACTCCATTAATATGCAGTTTGAAGCTTAGCTTATTGTCAATTTTTAATCAAAAAATTTTAAATTGAAGCTTGAACAGAAAATCTCACTTAAATTATTTATCATTTCCACATTTCTATCAAAACTCATATAAACAATTTTTTCAGATTGATTGTTAAAGCATTGCCATCAATCCAATTTTCTACCCTTTGTGTTTCTTTTCCGAATATGGCTGTTCTGACTTAGCTTGAAAAACATAATATCGTCTCATCCGCGTTTAAGACCGGCTTCGTTTTTTGACAAACTAAAGAGAGATATGTATGAAGATGAGAAACAGTAGCGGCCCACAGGTCAAAACTAACAAAAACTTCATGTGAGATATTTCAATTTCAGTAGAAATTGGAACATTCCTACAGACAGAATTCGTCTGAATTTGTACGTGAGCGTAGTTGTGGCAACTCAGCATGTTAGAGTGTGTTGTACATTATAGGCAGATGCTGGTGGGTTTGAGCAATGACGGCATCACTCTCATCTTCTGTTACCGGGACTACTTCAACCCAGTCGATGGACCCCCTGGCATAGTGGAGCCCAAGAAGAGACACAAGAAGCTGCAGAGGGTCTGTGCAGGGGGCGACAGGTGAGACACTGCCGACAATCATTTAATAATTGCCGGAAATAATTTAATTACTCCATTAAATGAACTCATTATACAAGCATAGCTTGTGTTATAGTATGAACTTTTTTTCCAACTTAAGTCGCAAATATTGTTGCGATGTAATTGTTGCGACAAAATGTGTTCATTTTGAAAGTGTTCATTTTGATCAATAAACAGCTATTAAGTACAGCCAATGCTAAGGATATTAACACAGACTATTATCTTACAATAGCACTTTAGCTTCAAGGTATCATGGATCTGTAGCATAGAGGTAGGGAAGGAGACTCGCAATAAAATAAGAGGGTTTGAACTTTTTCGTATAATAGTACAAATGAGTCCGCTCTATAAATTGAGGCATGTTAGTTGGTAAATTTTTTCTTTTTTTTTCAAGTTGACTGGTACTGCTAATGCGTCATAATTGGCGTGCTTCACTTAAGAAATTTTGTAGACTCAAAGTTTTATTCATTCAGTTTTTCCCCAGTAGCGTTATCGGTCGATAGTTTTGCTTGTGTATGCGAAGTGCAACTTCGCCTCTGTGTGATAGATTTTATCAACGAAGATCATTTTAAATTTTAATCCTAATTTTTAATTTAAATTTTCATGGTTTTAATGAATCTATAATTATTGGTTTGGCCTTTTTTCTAGATGCATATAGCGCGTAATTCCTTTTTGTGGTAACTAGCGCAATCAATACTAGCAAAAAATCAAGTACCACGAAGAAAACTCACATGAGGTTGAGTTATATATCTCATTTTAAAAATTTTTCAGGTGCGATTTGTGCGGTATATTTGTTAAAAAATCCAAACTGTGTCGAGAAATATTTAAAATTTTTAGGCCGCATTTAGGCCAATTAACTGGGAAGTTCGCTCCTCTGAGTCACTCTTTCTTCATGGCATTGCAAATACAGCATCCAAGTGTTTTTACATGTATCTATGTATCGAATTGGGAAGCTAAATATAACGCTGGATAATCTTGAATTGATATAATCAATTTATATATGATTCTGTTCATGTATCAAAAGCATATTTGAAGGACTATTCAAGTGTTATTCATTACTATAGGTGCACTCTGCTGGTAATAGACTGTTACAATACCCTCTGGATCAGAGATGGAACCAGCTGGGAGTTCCCAGAAGGACAAAGCTGGTCCAAACTACTCAACAACGTCACTGATGTCACTGTGGACTTGGACAACACCATTTGGGTTATCATGTCATCATACGATGGTCGCGATGGAGTCATGGCCCTACTCTATAATATCTCAAGTGGTCATAACTACTTGCAATGCGCTCACCACATGGTCGCAGCACCCAAATTGAGCCTGAACAAGAAGTTTGAATTGAGAATTGTACTTGGTCCAAATGTGAAGCATATTTCGAGTCAGTCTTTTACTTGCAACACATAGTGACTTAATTTTTCAGTTATGATTCAGATGAATTTTTCATTTCACAATTTCAAAATCAAATAAAATGGTGCTGAGTTTTTCTATTTTTATTCTGCAAAAATACTTATGCCCATCTATTATTTTCATCTAGAAGCTCTTTAGAGCTGCTATGTATAATTTTCGTTTTGAACTATTAGACCTCTAAATTGTTACCACTTAGATTCAGGTTTGTTGTAGCTTTGTTGCTGTTTTGCAATTAGTTTTGATTCGTTCAACTTATTAATCATCTACGGGCCGAACAAAGAAAATTAAACACATGTGATTATGATTATTTAAGCTTACTTAATATTTTTTTGGCAAATTGATATTTCAATTTTTTGAAATGAAATTTCATCATTACTTTGATCGAATCACGTAGTTTTTATAGTTTTGTAACTACTGAAGATAATTAAATTTTGATACAAAAGGTGTTTTCAAATCAGTTTACCAACTGGCGTGTTAGGTAAAATACTTCGTCAGCATAACTGCTTTCAAATGTTGATAAGTGAAGTCAACTTCCTCGACGTTTTACTTTGATGTTTTCAATTTGAGGACGTTTTTGGTTTTCAATAACAACAATCAATTTGAGATGTGAAAAAAATTCGCTTATTTGCTTTTTACAAAAGCTGAATTAATTCTGAAAAGGCTGAAAACAAAAAAAAGAGAGAGAGAGAGAGAAAGAAGAGAGAAGAGAGAAGAGAGAAGAGAGAAGAGAGAAGAGAGAAGAGAGAAGAGAGAAGAGAGAGAGAGAGAGAGAGAGAGAGAGAGAGAGAGAGAGTATCGGTTTATTCAGTGTGAAAACGTTTTAAACGCGGTGTCTTACAGTTTCACGCGCTCAGGATGATGAAAGCTGGCGTTCTTAGACCCAAAGTAATCTGCTAAGTCCTTGAAACCAAATGTTGATATTTTCATAGAGGGTAGCTGAGGTTTGCTCTCGGTCACTGTAAAATTTCAGAAATTTGGTCTAAAATGGTTATAGCAAATAGGCAATTTTGACAGTGAAAGCCTAAATTTGCAATTAGTTTTGTTTTGAAGAGTTGATGAACGTTGTAAAACTCTGAAAAAAGTCATGATCTTTTTGCTTTTTTAGGAAAAAGTAAAATAGCTCTAATAACTACAAATATACATCAATACTTATTTACACTAGGGTGCTTTAGCGAGTGTAGTGTAATAGTACGACTATTCTTTTTTCCAACCTAAGTCAAATTGGTGCCATTTTTTGTGGAACCTGTGCGGCTTTTTGAGAGCTTGTGCTTTGACATTCGAATTGTAAGTGGTAAATCAGTTATTGCATTTTTAATTCCTCAAATTAACCGAAAAAAAAGTTATCGGTTTCAAACAAAAGTAAAATCGTAAAAAACTCGATACTCGATTATAGAAATTTTCAAAATCAATCTATCTCGCAATTTTTTTGAAATGCATAATTTATACATAATTTGGCTCTATGCTTTCCAATTTATTACATTATAAAGGTAGTTGGATGACTTCAGTTTATTATATTCCAAATTGTTTAATGCAAAATGTGTCTATTTGTGTTTGATGCCAGTTTCTCTGGAGCGTACTGAGTTAAATATTCAAGTTTTTATTATTCCTATTTCGCTGCGGAATAAAAACTTTACCTTTTTATCAAGTTTTTTTTTCAAATAGAGTTAGTTTATCAAAACAGTGTCAATTATAAATTGTTGTTGGAACTCGAAGAGCTTAAAGGCATATGTTTTAATTGGAAATTTGGAATTTGCTTTTTTTTTGCAAAATAAAGGCAGTTTTTTGTTTTCTTGGGTTCATTGTCTCTTTTCCAACTTTCTGTTGGCTATGTTTTATTTTTCTCTGAACTTGTTTTCCTTCGCAAGTCGCTGTTGGTTGCTCTCACCTCACGGAAAACATGAATGACTTCGGGTTTCAAAAATGTATTTTAATTTCAAGCGTCCATGAACGTAGTGAAGACGCTTTTGCAAGTCATGATTTTTTTGTGCTTTTTTAGAAATATCTTAAATTTTGTCCACGTTCAAATTTGTTTCTTTTTGTGTTTTCTTTTGTCGAAATGAAGGCAAGTTCAACTATCAAGCATCAAAAGTGTTCGTGATCGACTTTTAGTTTCTTGGATTTTAATTTCCAGGTTTTTCAGCCTAATAAAAAGGTTTACTTAATGATCCAGTTTTCACAAACTGGATTTATTTTATCCAAAAAGTGTACTCGATTTTTTTGTGAAAATAAAGAGCTTCAAGGGCATGTTTTTTGAAGTTCGAAAGACAAAGCTTTTTTTAATTTAGTCAATTTTTTCTGTCTCCTTGCGTTTCCTGGCTTTTTTCCAACTGTCTTCTTAAGTTTCCAAGTGGAATAAATAAAATTGCTCATTAGAAGCAGTTTTCTTGAATTAGTTTAATTTTTTCGAAAAATATATCATCAATTTTTCTAGAAATATATCATTTAACTTGATATATTTTGTCTTCGAAATTCGAAAGTTCAAATTTTTTTTTTGATTTTTTCTTTTACACGTTTCAACCTTCTGATGGCTATGCTTGTACTGTACATAGTAGGTAAAAATCTTACATGTTTTTTGCGCTCAATTTTGATTTTTCGCGGTGTGATTTTCGATTTCTTTCAAATTCAATTCATAATTACGTTTTTAATGACGAAAAAAAGGATTTTTTAAATTCAAAGAGCCTTATGGTGATATATAGTTTAGATATAATTTTTGTTTATGTATATTTGTTTTGTACCTCGTAAATTGTTATTCTTCCAAATAAAGTTTTTTTAATCTTTAATCCAAACTTTTTAATCACTTTTTGTCTATTGACACATTTCTGTCTCGGTTATGGTTTTTAAGGCTGTTAGCAGCATTAAAATAGCCTTCTCTTCAAACAGTGATGTTTTTGTTTTTGGGGCCTATTTTCCGCTTGGGCGTTGAAGGGAAGAGCCAACAATCAGTTAATCCAGTGTTCTTGATTTATTTGTTTTCACGCGTTATTTTTGCGTGTTTGTTTTTTTTTGTTCCGACCCTTGAAAGTGGGGAGGGACTTTGTCTTCGAGTGTGTTTTGGTTTTTTCTCTTTTTTTATCCACGAAAAATTAGGTGTCAAAAATAATTGTCGGAAACGGCTGATTGATATATCATATTAAAGCCCTGGCATTTGTGATTCGAACCCCCTTAAAAATATCCTAACAATTTGTCAAGGTAGATAAAATCGGCTGAAATATTTTGATTTTTGGTCTAATTTCGAGCAAAGACAGCGAGCGAGCAGGCCTATATTACGAAAGTAAGACGAACCAAAATTACTTTTACACGTAATTTAGCTATGTGCTTTAGCGAGTGTAGTGTAATAGTACGACTATTCTTTTTTCCAACCTAAGTCAAATTGGTGCCATTTTTTGTGGCACCTGTGCGGCTTTTTGAGAGCTTGTGCTTTGACATTCGAATTGTAAGTGGTAAATCAGTTATTGCATTTTTAATTCCTCAAATTAACCGAAAAAAAAAATTATCGGTTTCAAACAAAAGTAAAATCGTAAAAAACTCGATACTCGATTATAGAAATTTTCAAAATCAATCTATCTCGCAATTTTTTTGAAATGCATAATTTATACATAATTTGGCTCTATGCTTTCCAATTTATTACATTATAAAGGTAGTTGGATGACTTCAGTTTATTATATTCCAAATTGTTATATGCAAAATGTGTCTATTTGTGTTTGATGCCAGTTTCTCTGGAGCGTACTGAGTTAAATATTCAAGTTTTTATTATTCCTATTTCGCTGCGGAATAAAAACTTTACCTTTTTATCAAGTTTTTTTTTCAAATAGAGTTAGTTTATCAAAACAGTGTCAATTATAAATTGTTGTTGGAACTCGAAGAGCTTAAAGGCATATGTTTTAATTGGAAATTTGGAATTTGCTTTTTTTTGCAAAATAAAGGCAGTTTTTTGTTTTCTTGGGTTCATTGTCTCTTTTCCAACTTTCTGTTGGCTATGTTTTATTTTTCTCTGAACTTGTTTTCCTTCGCAAGTCGCTGTTGATTGCTCTCACCTCACGGAAAACATGAATGACTTCGGGTTTCAAAAATGTATTTTAATTTCAAGCGTCCATGAACGTAGTGAAGACGCGTTTACCAGTCATGATTTTTTTGTGCTTTTTTAGAAATATCTTAAATTTTGTCCACGTTCAAATTTGATTCTTTTTGTGTTTTCTTTTGTCGAAATGAAGGCAAGTTCAACTATCAAGCATCAAAAGTGTTCGTGATCGACTTTTAGTTTCTTGGATTTTTATTTCCAGGTTTTTCAGCCTAATAAAAAGGTTTACTTAATGATCCAGTTTTCACAAACTGGATTTATTTTATCCAAAAAGTGTACTCGATTTTTTTGTGAAAATAAAGAGCTTCAAGGGCATGTTTTTTGAAGTTCGAAAGACAAAGCTTTTTTTAATTTCGTCAATTTTTTCTGTCTCCTTGCGTTTCCTGGCTTTTTTCCAACTGTCTTCTTAAGTTTCCAAGCGGAATAAATAAAATTGCTCATTAGAAGCAGTTTTCTTGAATTAGTTTAATTTTTTCGAAAAATGTATCATCAATTTTTCTAGAAATATATCATTTAACTTGATATATTTTGTCTTCGAAATTCGAAAGTTCAAATTTTTTTTTGATTTTTTCTTTTACACGTTTCAACCTTCTGATGGCTATGCTTGTACTGTACATACTAGGTAAAAATCTTACATGTTTTTTGCGCTCAATTTTGATTTTTCGCGGTGTGATTTTCGATTTCTTTCAAATTCAATTCATAATTACGTTTTAATGACGAAAAAAAGGATTTTTTAAATTCAAAGAGCCTTATGGTGATATATAGTTTAGATATAATTTTTGTTTATGTATATTTGTTTTGTACCTCGTAAATTGTTATTCTTCCAAATAAAGTTTTTTTAATCTTTAATCCAAACTTTTTAATCACTTTTTGTCTATTGACACATTTCTGTCTCGATTATGGTTTTTAAGGCTGTTAGCAGCATTAAAATAGCCTTCTCTTCAAACAGTGATGTTTTTGTTTTTGGGGCCTATTTTCCGCTTGGGCGTTGAAGGGAAGAGCCAACAATCAGTTAATCCAGTGTTCTTGATTTATTTGTTTTCACGCGTTATTTTTGCGCGTTTGTTTTTTTTTTCCGACCCTTGAAAGTGGGGAGGGACTTTGTCTTCGGGTGTGTTTTGGTTTTTTCTCTTTTTTTTATCCACGAAAAATTAGTTTCTCTGGAGCGTACTGAGTTAAATATTCAAGTTTTTATTATTCCTATTTCACTGCGGAATAAAAACTTTACCTTTTTATCAAGTTTTTTTTTCAAATAGAGTTAGTTTATCAAAACAGTGTCAATTATAAATTGTTGTTGGAACTCGAAGAGCTTAAAGGCATATGTTTTAATTGGAAATTTGGAATTTGTATTTTTTTTTGCAAAATAAAGGCAGTTTTTTGTTTTCTTGGGTTCATTGTCTCTTTTCCAACTTTCTGTTGGCTATGTTTTATTTTTCTCTGAACTTGTTTTCCTTCGCAAGTCGCTGTTGGTTGCTCTCACCTCACGGAAAACATGAATGACTTCGGGTTTCAAAAATGTATTTTAATTTCAAGCGTCCATGAACGTAGTGAAGACGCTTTTACAAGTCATGATTTTTTTGTGCTTTTTTAGAAATATCTTAAATTTTGTCCACGTTCAAATTTGTTTCTTTTTGTGTTTTCTTTTGTCGAAATGAAGGCAAGTTCAACTATCAAGCATCAAAAGTGTTCGTGATCGACTTTTACTTTCTTGGATTTTAATTTCCAGGTTTTTCAGCCTAATAAAAAGGTTTACTTAATGATCCAGTTTTCACAAACTGGATTTATTTTATCCAAAAAGTGTACTCGATTTTTTTGTGAAAATAAAGAGCTTCAAGGGCATGTTTTTTGAAGTTCGAAAGACAAAGCTTTTTTTAATTTAGTCAATTTTTTCTGTCTCCTTGCGTTTCCTGGCTTTTTTCCAACTGTCTTCTTAAGTTTCCAAGTGGAATAAATAAAATTGCTCATTAGAAGCAGTTTTCTTGAATTAGTTTAATTTTTTCGAAAAATATATCATCAATTTTTCTAGAAATATATCATTTAACTTGATATATTTTGTCTTCGAAATTCGAAAGTTCAAATTTTTTTTTTGATTTTTTCTTTTACACGTTTCAACCTTCTGATGGCTATGCTTGTACTGTACATAGTAGGTAAAAATCTTACATGTTTTTTGCGCTCAATTTTGATTTTTCGCGGTGTGATTTTCGATTTCTTTCAAATTCAATTCATAATTACGTTTTTAATGACGAAAAAAAGGATTTTTTAAATTCAAAGAGCCTTATGGTGATATATAGTTTAGATATAATTTTTGTTTATGTATATTTGTTTTGTACCTCGTAAATTGTTATTCTCCCAAATAAAGTTTTTTTAATCTTTAATCCAAACTTTTTAATCACTTTTTGTCTATTGACACATTTCTGTCTCGGTTATGGTTTTTAAGGCTGTTAGCAGCATTAAAATAGCCTTCTCTTCAAACAGTGATGTTTTTGTTTTTGGGGCCTATTTTCCGCTTGGGCGTTGAAGGGAAGAGCCAACAATCAGTTAATCCAGTGTTCTTGATTTATTTGTTTTCACGCGTTATTTTTGCGTGTTTGTTTTTTTTTGTTCCGACCCTTGAAAGTGGGGAGGGACTTTGTCTTCGAGTGTGTTTTGGTTTTTTCTCTTTTTTTATCCACGAAAAATTAGGTGTCAAAAATAATTGTCGGAAACGGCTGATTGATATATCATATTAAAGCCCTGGCATTTGTGATTCGAACCCCCTTAAAAATATCCTAACAATTTGTCAAGGTAGATAAAATCGGCTGAAATATTTTGATTTTTGGTCTAATTTCGAGCAAAGACAGCGAGCGAGCAGGCCTATATTACGAAAGTAAGACGAACCAAAATTACTTTTACACGTAATTTAGCTATGTGCTTTAGCGAGTGTAGTGTAATAGTACGACTATTCTTTTTTCCAACCTAAGTCAAATTGGTGCCATTTTTTGTGGCACCTGTGCGGCTTTTTGAGAGCTTGTGCTTTGACATTCGAATTGTAAGTGGTAAATCAGTTATTGCATTTTTAATTCCTCAAATTAACCGAAAAAAAAATTATCGGTTTCAAACAAAAGTAAAATCGTAAAAAACTCGATACTCGATTATAGAAATTTTCAAAATCAATCTATCTCGCAATTTTTTTGAAATGCATAATTTATACATAATTTGGCTCTATGCTTTCCAATTTATTACATTATAAAGGTAGTTGGATGACTTCAGTTTATTATATTCCAAATTGTTATATGCAAAATGTGTCTATTTGTGTTTGATGCCAGTTTCTCTGGAGCGTACTGAGTTAAATATTCAAGTTTTTATTATTCCTATTTCGCTGCGGAATAAAAACTTTACCTTTTTATCAAGTTTTTTTTTCAAATAGAGTTAGTTTATCAAAACAGTGTCAATTATAAATTGTTGTTGGAACTCGAAGAGCTTAAAGGCATATGTTTTAATTGGAAATTTGGAATTTGCTTTTTTTTGCAAAATAAAGGCAGTTTTTTGTTTTCTTGGGTTCATTGTCTCTTTTCCAACTTTCTGTTGGCTATGTTTTATTTTTCTCTGAACTTGTTTTCCTTCGCAAGTCGCTGTTGATTGCTCTCACCTCACGGAAAACATGAATGACTTCGGGTTTCAAAAATGTATTTTAATTTCAAGCGTCCATGAACGTAGTGAAGACGCGTTTACCAGTCATGATTTTTTTGTGCTTTTTTAGAAATATCTTAAATTTTGTCCACGTTCAAATTTGATTCGTTTTGTGTTTTCTTTTGTCGAAATGAAGGCAAGTTCAACTATCAAGCATCAAAAGTGTTCGTGATCGACTTTTAGTTTCTTGGATTTTTATTTCCAGGTTTTTCAGCCTAATAAAAAGGTTTACTTAATGATCCAGTTTTCACAAACTGGATTTATTTTATCCAAAAAGTGTACTCGATTTTTTTGTGAAAATAAAGAGCTTCAAGGGCATGTTTTTTGAAGTTCGAAAGACAAAGCTTTTTTTAATTTCGTCAATTTTTTCTGTCTCCTTGCGTTTCCTGGCTTTTTTCCAACTGTCTTCTTAAGTTTCCAAGCGGAATAAATAAAATTGCTCATTAGAAGCAGTTTTCTTGAATTAGTTTAATTTTTTCGAAAAATGTATCATCAATTTTTCTAGAAATATATCATTTAACTTGATATATTTTGTCTTCGAAATTCGAAAGTTCAAATTTTTTTTTGATTTTTTCTTTTACACGTTTCAACCTTCTGATGGCTATGCTTGTACTGTACATACTAGGTAAAAATCTTACATGTTTTTTGCGCTCAATTTTGATTTTTCGCGGTGTGATTTTCGATTTCTTTCAAATTCAATTCATAATTACGTTTTAATGACGAAAAAAAGGATTTTTTAAATTCAAAGAGCCTTATGGTGATATATAGTTTAGATATAATTTTTGTTTATGTATATTTGTTTTGTACCTCGTAAATTGTTATTCTTCCAAATAAAGTTTTTTAAATCTTTAATCCAAACTTTTTAATCACTTTTTGTCTATTGACACATTTCTGTCTCGATTATGGTTTTTAAGGCTGTTAGCAGCATTAAAATAGCCTTCTCTTCAAACAGTGATGTTTTTGTTTTTGGGGCCTATTTTCCGCTTGGGCGTTGAAGGGAAGAGCCAACAATCAGTTAATCCAGTGTTCTTGATTTATTTGTTTTCACGCGTTATTTTTGCGCGTTTGTTTTCTTTTTGTTCCGACCCTTGAAAGTGGGGAGGGACTTTGTCTTCGGGTGTGTTTTGGTTTTTTCTCTTTTTTTTATCCACGAAAAATTAGGTGTCAAAAATAATTGTCGGAAACGGCTGATTGATATATCATATTAAAGCCCTGGCATTTGTGATTCGAACCCCCTTAAAAATATCCTAACAATTTGTCAAGGTAGATAAAATCGGCTGAAATATTTTGATTTTTGGTCTAATTTCGAGCAAATACAGCGAGCGAGCAGGCCTATATTACGAAAGTAAGACGAACCAAAATTACTTTTACTCCAGGGATATTAGTTTCTGACGCTTTTTCGCGCCTTCTTGACATCAAAAAAGTCCTAAAACAAACGAAAAAGAAAAGGTTGAAAAGTTACAAAATTGTCATCATTTTTTTTTGGTTTTCGATTAATGTTTTTGATAAAAACTGGGGTCAAATGGACGTCTTTTACTTATAAGTCGACTGTATCTATTTTCTTGGCTTAAGTTCAGATTCGCTCCTAGCCGAACCAACAAAAAAAAACATCCCAGTTTTCAAACAGAACTTTTTTTTGTTGTGGTCGAAACTTCCTGTGCTATTTGCACAGGAACGGCTGGCTATTCTTGTTTCTATTTTCTTATGGTTGCTATCAAACCCATTAACTAATCTTGCCGCATGAACTTTTTTGGACTCAGTGTACTCTTCCAAAGACTCGTGTGAAATCGAAAAAAGTATGATGGATAGTAAATTTCTAATAGTCGGTCAGAACCTATCAACTAAAATGTATCATCTTAATGATCAGAATTGATATAAATTAACGAATTTATCTTCGTCTACAGCTAATGTATCTAAAATTTTTAATCATAATCTAAAATAATCCTGCTAAATATAAAGCTAAATTTATCGCTTAGTAAGCTATCTAATGCCCTTAGACAATACTACAACAACTGTCATTGTCTCTCAAACTGCGATGATGCTTTCAGCTACTCAGTTAGTTATATCTGTGGTCTTCATCGTCTTACTTCTGTTGACTTTTCCGGATTTCAAACTCCGAATCCGCCCCCAACGGTTCCCTGTTCCAACAGAAGTCTCATCAAATCTTCATCCATTATGCTCCGGTCTCTTATCACTTCCGTTCAGGTCAAGTTCAAATTGAGAGTTGAGAGTAGAATTGATACAAAGCTTTTCTTTAGGCAAGATTTCAATCGACTGAAATTGTTCGGCTGTTTTTTTAGATAGGTTTCAAAAATAATGAATGGCTTCTTTTGTTACTTGCTCTAGGCCACTCGTAGTAAATAAAAACTTAGTTGCGCAAATTGTCATCTATTTTAACTGTTTGTTTAACACACCAATTTGGTCATTTCTCGCCATTTAGACATTGGGTTGTATCTGTTTTGACGTGGCAACTAATGACGCATTGTTTGAAATACCGTAAAACGATGTGAGAAGGATTATTGGCTCTCGGATACTCGGAGCAACTCGATCAGAACATAAAAGGGCCGTCTGTTTAATGAGTTAGAGTAACCGATTAAATCTTTGGCTTTGGAGGTCCCGTTCCTGTGATAGTTGTAATTGCAATCATTTTGTTTTTGGAATGATACCTTTTAAGGGGTGTATTTATGAAGTTGATTTGGTTTACCTCCCACGCTACTTTGGTACAATATGTTGGTTCAGTGTGAATATGAATCGATTATCTTGGGAGCTTAGAAGCAAACCATCACAGGACGTCATGCAAGCGGAACGCTCAAATTGAATTACTTTTTAAGAGTAATGAATGGAATGTTGTGAGTACTCTTATATAGGTCTCCGTGATTTTTTCAGGAAAAGTCTTAAAATTTGTTCACGCTCAATTTTGATTTTTCGCGGTTTGACTTTTGATTTCTTTTAAAGTTCAGTGCATTTCCATTGTTAATAGGAAGGCAAACTCAATTTTCGAACAGCAAAAATGTAAAGATCACGAAAAACGTGAGCGACTTCTGATTTCGAAAATGGAAACTATCAGATTTCCCAGTGAAATAAAAGTTGATCCTATTGATCCAGTATCATCAAATTAGGTTTTTGGTCGTTTAAGTGAATTTTTACATCTTTTTAATTCATTTTTGAAAAGAGCATTCAAATTTCCTTTCTAGGTAAAGAGATGCATCAAAGCATAAATTTTACCGGCTTTTATAATAACTGTCTGCATCAAAAATTATTTGAAACAAATAGTGTTAGCATAATGGTCTCCTAGTATTTGACGCTTCCTCGTCAAGTACTCATCTCTCATATGTTGTGTTAATTTTTTTTTTGATAATAATATATTTCTTCTAGGGGACTGTAACCACTATACGACCGCCTCGAACTTCTTGCAAGTCGGCCAACCTCGAATAGGTTCTCAAGCAGAATTGCCTCCGAGCTATATTTAGGCTACGCTATCTTCTCAATTGGTAGTAAAACTGGTCTCGGTACGCGGGGATACTGTTTTTTTTTCTTTCTTTTGTTATTCTATCCCTTATTTATAGCTGAATGGTTCTGTTATCCTGCCTCACTTCGTTTTTTTTAAATATCATTTTGACCATCAGATTGCTAAAAAGAAAAATCAGCCTTCGTTTTGCATGAAATTTATCAAGCGGCAAACGCTGAATCACGCGCACTAAATAAGTCGTGCCGATTGTAAGCGGAGCAAGAAATAGATACTGGCCAATATCGTGGTATAAAAACGTATCCTATCAATTTTGACCCTTACATATCGCTTGTTACGAATCATCGTCTGTAACGATTTGCCCTCCAACTCCATTAGAAATATGTACTGCGATTGAGTTTTAAAAAATCAATATCACTTTTTTTGTTCCGACTTCCGAAGAAATTGCGGAATTTTTATGCTTATGTCGTTTTTTATTCAGGCAATTTTCGACTCGTAGTTTGAAGTTTGAATTATTTAGTGAGCACATATAACTAACAAGCATCAGTCATAAGATACTCACAGGGATCGAGCTCACTGGCCCTAAGGCCCCTCGAGGAGACGTCTCATAAGGTAGACTTTTACAGAATAAGTTGAGGAGAACGAAAAGGCAGGAATTAGATCACTTGTCAAATATCAGGTGAAGGAGTTCAGAATTATCTGTGACAAAATTACGTTTAGTGTTTTGTAAATATGAGTTCAATTGAGATTTTGATCTTTCAAGTTCTCTGGAAAAAGACTATTAGCCGAAAAACATTGTAAAACTTGAGCACTTTAACGCTAACCGGTTGTAATAAGCAGTTAGATCTAACAGATTTTAAACGTAACATTCTCAAGATACGGGCACGTGTTTGTTTCCAGTTATTTAGTTGATTGAAATTCAAAAACTTTAATGGCGATTTACCAAGTGTTTGATAAATAACTTCTTTAAAAACAGTATCTAGAAACAAGTCAAAAACGGTATCAATACTATGTTGTGAAAATTTTTCGGTAATGTGATCAAATTCGCGCAGAAAGGAAATAGTTCTAAGAATTTGCTTTTGCATTATAAAAATTTTGCTTAAATTTGACTTGTACGCACATCCATAAACAAAGATGCCGTATGATATTAAAGGTTTTGCATAAACTTGATAAAATCTAAGAAGAAATGTCCCAGAAAAAAACATTTCTGGCTTTATAAAGAATTCCATTAAATTAAGCTAACTTTTTACAAACATGATCTATGTGTTGCCTAAAACAGAGCTGATTATCTACCACAACCCCAAGTTTCTTGAAGGAGTTCTTATCATTAAGTTTCTGATTACCCAAAAATATTTCAGATTCTTTTGAACTCCCTCCGAATACATGCGTTTTATCAATATTGATGGTTTTTCTATTATTTGTGTACCAATTTTCAATTGATGTAAGGTCCTGATTAAAATTTTTATCTATCGAATTGTTTCTGACCGTGGTAAGAATCGTTGTATCATTAGCAAACAGACAAATTGAGCTTTTCTTAATTTCTTAGGCATGACGTTAATATAAAGTAAAAACAGCAGTGGACCTTAGACAGATCCTTGAGGATTGTAATAACTCCGATTGTAGTACTCTTTAATTGAGAGTTTTTCCACAAAAAGATACATACTGTTTACGATTGGTTAAATAAGACTGCAGAAAAGTGTTTGTTTTACCGCGGAACCCATAGAGATCTAATTTGGATAGTAAAATGGAGTGATCAATTGTGTCAAAAGCCTTTTTAAGATCTACAAAACCTGCCAATCCTGATTTTTTATCTATACAGTGACGCATTATATCGATTGCGGAAGTTATTGCATGCACACAAGAATATCTGCGCCAGAACCCAAACTGTTCAGGCTCCAAAAGCTTGCATTTTGATAAAAAATTTAATCATGCGAATGTGTATTATTTTTTCAAAAATTTTGCTGGAAGTACTTAGTAAACTTATGGGTCAAAAACCGTTTGGCTCTACCTGTTTTCCCGTTTTATAAAATGGTAGTAATTTTGCAATTTTAGAAATGTTTGGAAAAACGCCAGCAATAAAGCATTGGTTAAAGCAAAAAGTTAAGAATGGCAATATTATTGGTGCACAAAATTTGACCGTCCTATTATTGATGCCATCATGACCGTCGGACGTTTTGTTTTTCAATTTTTCTATAACAATAGAAACTTCTGACTCATCAGTGGGATAAAAAAAAACAATTTTTTTTTTGCTTTTATGTCTACAGAAGTAAAATTACAAAGTATGTCGGTGACCGACTTGCACAAAAAAGTTGTTGAAATCATCAACATCAATTTTACTAAAAACCGAAGAACTTTTCCGGAAACTTCCTTAAAAGCGTGTTGAAAAGCGTTTTTGCATTGCCTTGCAAGTTGATTTTTCTATCATAATAGTTTCTCCTGGTATTACGCATCAACCGATTGACAAATTTACGAGTTTTGTGGTTAGTTTATCTCGTTTTCTAAATTGTTTTTTCAATTCGAGAGTTACCCAAGACTGCGATTTTTTTGTTCCGTGTGACAGTTTTTTCAGGACAAAGGTTACAAATATCAACCAATATTCTAGCAATTATTACCAAAGAAAAAGTATCCAGGTTGTCAAAAGCTTTTGATAAGCGATGATTGAATAGAAAAAAGCAGCTTACATGCCGTAGTCTCATTCAATTAACATTTGAGATCTGGATATTCTCTAGGAGTATTAATTTCAAAATTCCTTTGTAGATAAGTGTTAACCAGCAGGGGGTAGTGATCACTGATAGTGCATTTCAATGTTGATACCTCGTGAGGCATATTTGCAAAAATATGATCGATACATGATGAGCTATGGGAAGTTTCTCCAGTAGGTTCTTCGTTCAACATCTTCAAACCGAATGATAGGAGTAACTTTTTATAGTCAACTAAAAAAGATGAACTTATCAAGATATCAATCAAGATCACCGCAAAATAGTATTTCTTCTTTGATCTGAGATAAATCATGAAGTAAGGAATCCAAATTCAACAAAAAAGTATCCTGATTCATTGATGGTGGTTTGTATAATACGCAGAAGTGCTTTTTCAAATGATTAATTTCAATAGTTATCATTAGATGTTCAATATCATTATCAAAGCTTTTTGAAAAAGCCGTTAAACCATTTTTTAACAAAGCAAGCAATACCCCCTCCCTTTTTACCAAACCTGTTTTTGGTAATGATTGTCTGATAGCAATCAATGGTGTAAAGTCCTGTTGAATCATTATCAGTTAGCCATGTTTCACATAAAGCTATCAATACTGGAGCGTTTTTTTTAGTCTGTCTAATTAAAAGATCATGATGGCATCTAAGTGATTGTATTTTGAGAAAGAAGAGATATTCATTTATGATGTATTTTTGATGTAATTTTTACAACATCTGAAACATATTGTTTCCTAGAGCTCAAATTCAAAAATATTTTTTTTACGTGTGATCCTTTTTCATTAGGTACGGGTTTTTCAAAATGGATAGTTTTTACCAATTTGGGAGAACTAACGCCAATTATTGCGTTCTTGTTAAATGAATAACGGGCAGGCTGATGCGTTTCAAACTGAATTGAGCCAAGTTATTGGTCCTAATATTAGAATACAAGCCGCTAAATTCATCGCTTTATAGTTTACATCCCTTTATGAGGATCAGTTGACGAAACAAATTTTAAAAATAAAACTTTTTTTTCCGATTGTTTCGTCAGTTTCTTAACTACAAAACTTCAAAATTGGCATTAAAATGAAGTCGGAATATTCAGGCCTTCGCCCTGATATACGCGCAGTCTTGTTTTTTTGCAAATTTCTTTTGAAGATTTGAATAAAAACTTTTGGTTCACGTTTCGAGATTTGAAATGTGTTCTCGTCGCAAATAATTAAGCTGAGCAGTCAAATTTTTTTCCGATGTTCTAAAATGTATGAACGAATAATTTTTACGGGGACTGTTTTGAGTAGAAGAGATTGTAACATAAATTTTCCTGAAAGTTAATTAAAAGCACCAAATAAAAGATCGATATTAATGTTTTCTTTCTTTTTGGGCAACGACTTCCATGGGTTAAGGTGATATGTTATTCAATGATATGCTCGTAAACTCAGGCTTATTTTTCACCGTATAATTTTTTCGTCTGAATTTGGTTGTCAAAATCATTTAAGTACTGAATAGTCCTAATTTTGTTGAACTATTTTTGTTGATATTTTTGTTATTTCTTATTTCTGTTGCCTTAAATTGTGCTGACTATACAAACTAAATTTTCGTTAAGGCATCTTGATGAAAGGAAGCTCTCCTTTTTCTTTTGTTTTGCGCGACGTTTTTCAACAGTAAAAGCTGTCTCAGAATGGTGTATTCAACATACTATCAAGAGTTGGCAGACAAGAAACTCAACATGCCGACGAAGCCTATTTGTTTTTATTTTGTTAGTTCCGTATACCGGAGTGACATACTTCAAACCTACCTAAAATTTGGATAAATTGTAAAATATCCCCCCTCCCCTAATCGATTTAGAGGGGATAATTTTGAGTATAGGCTTGGTTTATACAAAATAAACAGGTTGAATGAGAAAATCGATTGAAAATACATTAATTTAGGTCATTAACAGCATTCGAATGCAATTCCACATAAACAAGGTGAAAATAAAGTTTGTTCGTGCGTTTTGTTCGAGGGGGAGGGGTTATTTTTCGGATTCAATATATGTCCAAGCAAAGTTGATCATTTTTTGTTCCCTTCCTTTTACCTTTTAAGGTGTCATATTTAGATGTAATATCCATATTGCGCAGTGTTTTTAACTAACCGAGCATACTATGGGCCTAAACGGGCATGCAATTAGGAGGAGGTGCTTGTTCAAGACAAGAAAACTTTTAGGGGATCGAATTGAGATGGTGGGTGGATGGGTTTCATGTTCCGGAATAAAATGAACCATCGGTGTATTTTTAACTTACTAATGCGCGCAACACAAGAAAATTGGCAAGAAAAAAAAACGCACTAAAAGCTTTTTTATGAAATTGGATGCGTTATTGTCCTGCGTTAACTTATTGTGCTATAAAAAGTTGGATGTGTATTTGTCCCTCGTTAACTTCCAAATGGCCACACCTCAGCGGGCTTGTGACTCGATCAAGGTTCGAGGTTTTTGCACAGATCAAAATAATAGATGAAAAAACTGAGCGTTTATTACAACTTTATGGTAATCAACTTTTTGTGTCAATTGTCGCTTCAGGCAAATAGCTTTAGTTGTCTCAGTTTTGGCTCGATTTATCTTCTGCTAAGAGTTGTCACCGTACCCCATTTTACATACTTTTATCATCTGGTTGATATTTCTTTCCTTTTGCTTTTATTTTCTACTCTTGCATTTTCTTTTTTTTGCTCCTCCTTAAACATAATTATTTTTAAAAAGCTGTAATAATTTCATATTTTTTGTTTCGTTTTCTTGCGATACGTCTGCTCATGGACGTTTCTGTTTAATTACTCTTCGATTTATTGCACCGGTCGTGACAAGAGACATTAGCAGAAATGGTCAGATGTTGTTTTTCTCGTTCCATCATCTTTTTCCTGATACCATTTCACGCCCCATTGATCCTGTTTTGTTCGTGTCCTCATCTATGACAAATCGGTAGTTTTCTGAAGGTATTCAGACTTTATTGCTCTAACTGGCTTCGAGGGCCTCCCATGTCTTGACTTGCAGGAATTCTGTTTTGTTATTATTATGGCTTTGACATTTATTTTACAACTGCAGCGGGCAAGCTGAGATTAATTTAGTTATTTAGTGGCGCTGTCGTTGTCCTTGCTTGTATTGGATTGAATGGACAAGGAAGTCAAGATACGAATTTGTTTTTTATTAATAGGTGAGCTTGCCGTTTTTTACAATTATTTTTCCCTGAAAGTTGTAATGATCTCAATTTGAAACCAAATTATGTCCTATATTCCAGCATCAAGGCCAAGTTGATCGAACTTTGGTAATCCTTTTACTTTTTGTTTTTCAGGTGATATAGACACTAAAGCACAGAGTTTTGTGGCCGAAGTGTTAATAGAGGCCACGTGGGTGAGTGACAGAGACGATGGGGAGTGTGGTTCCAATGGCGACAAGGATGACTTCGATCCCAAACTGGTCATCACCAACCTCGAGGAGACTAGAAAGGAAACCCAGTGGCGCAGCTGCGAACAGGATCCAGATGATCCGGATGTCACTTATATCACCATGCACTGGCGCATCAAGGGAGTGTTCTACGAGAATATGGAACTGGAGAATTTCCCCAGAGACGTTAGTTCGGATTATTGTATGATCTGTTCTCGATCCGACATGTTAACGTTCGGTTTCAGAGGAACACTGAAGAGCCAATCAGTTTTTTTTGTATTAAGTGTTAAGGCAATGGGCTAACCCCTTTCTCTACGCGGAGAATCATATTTTCGAATATGAGAATTAGTTTTTTTAAAAGTCGATGAACGTAGTGAAGACTCTTTTATAGATGTTAAGTCTGTAAGTGCTCTAATAACCACAGATGTGCTTTCCAAAATGTTAACAGAGTTGACTATGAATTCAGCTATGAAAAAGGTAAATTGCACTATCCAAATACGAACGTAGAATTGGGGCAAAAAACGTTAACTGCTTCTAGTTTCGAGAGTGGAATTTAGTTTTTGGATTTCTCAGCGGAGAAAAGCTGTACCTAATAATCCAGTATTTTAAATCTGAATTAAATTTATCAAAGAAAGTCAATCATGAATTTGTCTTCAAATTTAAAGCGGCTTATGGCCATATGTAATTTACTTTGATGATTTTGAATTGTAATTATATTACACAATTTTTCTTTTTTTTCAACCTAAGTCGCAAATATTGATGCCACTTTTGAAGCACCTTTACAGCTTTTTCATAGCTTGTGCTTTAACATTCGAATATTAATAAGTTAACATAGTTGATGTGCTTTAACATTCGAATAGTAGTAAGTTAACACAATTGATGCAATTTTAATTCATCAATTGAACCAAAAAAGTTATTTGTTTCAAACAACAAACATGAAAACTCGATTTCAGAATTTTTCTAAGTCAATGCAGCCTTCTAACTCTTTTCTATCTCGCAGTTTTTCAAATGCATAATTTATACATAATATGGCTTTGTGCTTTCCGATTTGTTCGTGGAAATTTGGCGCTGATGCTTTCAGTTTGTTATTTTCCAAATTGTTACTTGCAAAATTGTGTCTATTTTTATTTGGTGCCACTTTTGCTGCATCTTATTGACATTATTTAGTATATGAATCTAGCTGCTGCTATGTAAAATTAGTAAATTGTCTAGGGATTGTGGGGCAGACGTGAGCACAGGGGACTCTAAATCTCCTGGTGGCAGGATTGAATCTACCACAGAAAAAAGTTTTAGTTTTTCAAAGCGTTTTTTTTCGTATTTTACTTTATCGAGCTGCTGTTTTCTTTTTCTCAATACTGTTTGCGAAGCGCAGCTTTGCCTCAGGGTAAAATTATTCCTGGCTTTTACATAAGTATTGATTTAAGTGTTCTCGAGTTAATAGTGCTGAACAATTGTCGATGAATGTAGTTCAGACTCTTATACAGGTCGTGATTTTTTTCTTTTTTTTGCCAGAAAAGTAAAGTTTTTCATCAGCTCATAATTATTTTATCGCGGTTTGTGATTTTTGTTAGTTCAGGTAATTTTTTTCCGGTAAATCGAAGGCAAACTCCACTATCGAATAGTGAAGGTGCTAAAATCATGAAAAACTTGGTTGACTTCTACTATCAAAAATGGTATTTATTTACCAGATTTCCCAGCAAAATAGAAATTTTCACATTGATCCAATTTTCTCAAGTTGTTTAATTTTGTTAAAAAATTGTCAATCATAAATAGTTCTAAAAAATTTTCAAGCTTCTAGGCCATCTATTTTTTCCTTCGAATTTCGGGTCATATTCTGGATCATATTTGAGTTTGATTTAAATGTGCACATTAAAACCTTTTTCAAGCTTAAAATAGCTATCTAAAGTTTATGGTTTATGAAGGTCCAGGACATTAGCATCAGTGTGTCAAGTGACTGGCATGCCAACGAGATAGAACTCATGCTGGACTACTCCAAGATGAGCACCCTAGATGTGGCTAACTTCCAGGACGACCAAGAGTGGAGTCTTTTCAAACATGTGGAGTTGGAGAAAGTGCCCGAGGATCCAGAGAGCGAGATTGAACTGGGATACACTGCTGGGTTTATAGTTGCCAGATGCAGAGTGGCACGACGCTCCAAGTGAGTGCAAACCTTTTTTTTATTCAAAATTTGTTGTGAGATAGCCACCTAACAATCATAATTCAAAATTTTTAAAAAAAACCAGCTATCCTTGTTTCTTGTTTTTTCTCTTTTTAGTTCATTTTTTGAAAAATTTGATAATGATTATCATTATCTTACTGAAGTTTTTAGCTTTCGTCTTTCCTCTCATCACACACGCATAAAAAATTGGCCTATTTAAGAAGAAAAAAATATGATCCAGTTCAGAAATACTGGAATGGTATGCCGATGCAGTGTTTAATTGTTTAGCCTCGATATTGTCATAATTTGAACCTATTGTTCGCTTTTCCAAGCATGATATGATGTTTGTCTTGTTATCGTAAATTAATCTTGCTTCTGTGTTAGGTTCTTCATGGTGAACAATGTGCTGCTGATGTTCAGTCTGATCGTACTGTCGCTTACCATCTTCGCTTATGACCCCAGTTGGAACATGGCCAGAATCAGCTCGTCCATGACTCTTCTTCTCGTGGCAGTTGCATTCAAACTGTCAGTGGCAGGCACCCTCCCACTCATATCTTATCTCACGTACCTCGACATATACATACTAGGGTTAGTCAGATACATCATTATAACGTGGGGGGGGGGGGGGGGGGGGGGCAATTGGTTGTTGATGTAATTGCAGCTGCTCTCAAATTAAATTGAGAATTCGGTCATTAGAGAATGTCCGTCCATGGTACTTAATTAACTCCCAGAAGGAAGAGAAAGCAATTCTAGCAATTGAATATGCGTGTGCAGCAATGAGAGTTTTTTATAAGTGTCACCTTTTCAAACAAAATTAACCTCCAGTGGAAAAACAAGTCGTGTGTTGTGTGCGTCCCAATTCGTTTCGATATGCCATACTTGTTATTAATGTTGTACCTTGTTTTCAGTGGCATGTTGTTTCTCTGTTCGATGACCGTGATATTTGCCCTCATCTCCCCCTTCAAGGATAAACCGGATGAGGCTCTGGTGATTGACATGTGCGCACTAGTAGCCCTCGCAGTACTCATCACAGTATTCCACGTCGTATACGCCGTCGTGTTTCTCAACAACACCAACAAGTTGGTCCAAGTTGACCTTCAATATTATATATTTAGTTTCAGAGTAAACGAACAAGTTTAAGTGAAAACTTATGGTTTCTTTCGTTTTTGAAATTATTTTTATGCGTTTTTTGATGTTTCTGTAAACATAAACAAAACGATTATGCAATACTTTACTATTTTTTTCTGGAGCATGTTTGAAATCGTAGAACATCAGATAAGTTGTTTCTAATTTTCTGTCCAAAAAGTTATTTTTGTTTTTCAGGAGAATAAACGAGATGAAGAAGAAAGACAAAGAGTATGATCTGCAACTGAGAAGACACCGTGAAATGGAGAAGATGGTAAACATGGCACGCAAAACTAGCAGGGATCCTCCAACGTCCCCGGACACCTCAACCATTGCAGCTACCACTCCCAGAAGCAAACCCAAAATACCACCTGCTGAGATCATTATCAGAGATATTTCAATTGAAGACAGGATGTCATTTATAGACGAAAGCAAAGATAGAAAGAGCTCGGACTCGAACTCTAGACCTACGGTTTTTGACCCGAATCGCAGTTCTCTAAGACGCGGCTTGAGAACCCCGAAAACCAATGGAATATCAGACTTTTCATCCCATGGGATCTACTCAGATAGCAATGAAACTCGAGACGTCCCTTCTCATAATAACAATTTTATGAATCCTGTGGGCTACTTATAGTTTCATAGTTAAAAGACATTTGTGTTATCCATGTTTGGTGTATGATGATGTATATGTTGCGAGCGATATTTAAAAATAGATTTTTCAAAAAGATGATGTTTTGAAATTTGCAGCGGTTGCTTTTTTTCATCTTTTTCTTCAGACACCGTTTCATTTCCCAGCTGAATAATTTACAGTACTGTTGTGTTCGCTTGAGCAAATTCAGAATTAATGTTGAATGGTTTTGTTTACTTTTACTTTGAGTCATCAGTTCAAAGCAGCTGTAAAATGTAAAGAATCTCTTGATCTCGTCACACTAAACCATCAAACCAATAAATAGACTGTTGTAATTTCAGATAACTACTGCTCCAATTACAAACATGTGATTAAATTTTGGTCAGCAGCTTAGTGTGACCATTTTGCAGCTGCAGCAAAATAGGACTAAATAAAAATGGGAAACTACAAGTCGCGACCATCAACTTCTTGCAGCGAAACATGGAAAAACGGAATCAGCGAAAACTACGCGGTAGTGAGACGTCGCCTGAACGAAGATCTATGTCACCTGAAGGATCCGAAGTTGTGTAAAAGGTGTGAAGAGAGCTGTTGTTCACACCAACGAACCATCATGTCACGAGATTCGGTCACTTTTGAAAACTTCAGAACAGCGTGTATAAATTGCGACCCAGAAGGAATTCAAAATGCTCTGAAAATGAACGAAGAAATTGTGACTTTCAGGCTAGACTGCGACCACTTTACTGGTTTGCATTATGCTGTGATTAACAGTTCAGCCAGCAAAGACAGTCAATTGTTATCTATCAAGCTACTTATCTCCCACGGTGCTAAGTGTTCCTACGTTGTTACTAGGAACCTCTTCTCTCCACTCCATCTTGCCGTATTCAAAGCGGATCCAAACATCGTGAGTCTAATGACGACTCTGATTACATCAAATCACGAATTGAACTTCGCTGGAAACGAATCATTGACGTCACTGCATCTCGCATGTCTGCATGGAACCGAGGAAATCGTATCGATTCTTCTAGAAGCAGGAGCAAAGCCTGATTTGGTGGACGCTGTTAAATTTTCACCGATGCATGTCGCTATATATGCTCTAAACGATCAAGCGAAAACGACGTGCATTGTGAAAAAATTATCAGAACATGGAGCTCCTTTTTGTTATTTGAACAGTGCCGTTAAATCAAAAGGCAAAGAAAATTTTTCCTCAAAAGAACTGGCGTTTGATGATTTTGACGCCGAACATATTCCTATTATTCTCTTGGCTGCTTCCAGAAGGCAAGTTGAAACTATTACATTTTTGCTGGAACAGCCAGAAATAGATGTAAATACAATAGATCTGGAACATAACACTGCTCTGCATGTTGCTTCGAAGCAAGGCCATGTTTCAGTTGTGAAGTTGCTGCTCCAGAAAGACAAAATAGAACTGGGTAAAAATGTGTACGGCGATACTGCCGTCCATTTAGCTTGTTACTCTGGAAAAATTGAAATAGTCCAAATTCTGTTGCAAAAATTTGGCAAGCAGTGTTTGGAAGAAGTGAACATTTTCGGTGAAACTCCTTTGCATGCAAGTTGCACGTTTGGTACGAATTTAGAGCTCATTGAGTTTCTGCTTTGTGAGAATCCTAGACTAGTTAATTATCAGTCTAAAGATGCAGGACATACACCATTGCACAGCTGCTCATTTCACGGCCACTTTGAAGCGGCACGTTTGTTGGTTCAAAATGGAGCCGATGTGACGGTGTTGGCGAACAGCAGAGACACCACTCTGATGTCAAGGACGAATGACGACAGTGGGTGTGGAGGATGTGAGGAGAACAGTGTTGCGTCATCGGAGAGCAACAGCAGAGGGGATTTGTTCACGGCTCTGTATCACGTCAGTTAAGATTGAAAGATTTACACTAACTACTTCTGAAAATATTGGTTTCTGGATTTGGACTTGGAATTTGTAAATTTTCGTTTGTATACAATCCAGATGAGATAGGAGCTGCTGGGGAAACTTTTAATTTTTTTTTCAGTTGCGATAGAAATTTTATTTATTGGTAAATCAGGTTTAGTGGCGATAGAAATATTATTTATAGGTTAATCAGAAAGGTAAATCAGGTATCTATTGATATACATAAACAATCTCGCGATAGCACAAGCGTACTAGTCGGAACGACAATCTTCGCTGGCTTCGAATTTTAAGTCTGTTGGCTATGCATCCGGGTTAACTTTTTTTGAATTATTTGTATTTCAGGACACGTGTGCACAATGGGCAGCCGAGAATGGCCACGATGACCTTGCTAACTGGCTGAACCAATGTCGCAGCAATGGGGACTCCGCCTCCTACAGATCCAGTGGGGGATACACCACCGAAAGCTCTTATGTTCCCCTCCCCAGCAAGATAGGAAAGATTAAGTCAGTCACCCAGGAGAAAATAGGAGTGCTCTCTTTACGTGCTCAGTTGCCAAAACATATGCAGATTGAATATTGCGACATTGAAAGAATTGAGCATATAGGGAGTGGTGGGTTCGGTAAAGTTTACAAATCGAGACTGAGATCCAAAAATGAAATTGTGGCCGTTAAAGTCTACAAGCATCACCATCATAACTCCAAGACAGACATCGACATGTTTGTACGTGAAGTGAAGATTCTCTGGCAATTGGACAATCCCTACATAATTAAGTTCCACGGAGTATGTTTGGACGATGCATCGAATTTTTCTCTAATAACCGAATTCTGCGCAAATGGGAGTCTCTATGATTTCCTGCACAAACAGAAGAGATGTTTAGATCTCGCTGGTAAACTCGTGATTTTGCAAAATGTCGCCAGCGGTAAGTCATTGCTTTTCTGGAATAACTTTCTCCCAATTTATATTTGGCGTATCCTTGCCATTTGATTTTTTAAAATTGTTTGCTTCCGACCTAAAATTTGATTAATGATGCCACTTACTTTCAATAGAGCGCTGAAAATTGCGGTTGTTTGTGCACTAGGAATGAACTATCTGCACACTCTGCCGGAACCAGTGATCCACCGTGACCTTAACAGCTTCAACATCCTCCTAAGGGAATCCATGAACGCCGTTATTGCAGACTTCGGGGAATCCCGCTTCATACACAGACTCCTACGCCAGGAAATGCTGACAAAACAACCGGGAAATCTACGCTGGATGTCGCCAGAAATATTCAACCAGTCTACAGAATACAATACTAGAGCAGACGTGTATAATTTCAGTTTGTGTATTTGGGAACTGCTAAGTGGGGAACTTCCATTTTCACAGTACACGCCGCTTCAGGCAGCGCAAGTTGCGGTAAAAGGAGTTCGTCCTCCAGTGGTCGAGGAGTCGTACCCGGATGCTTTAGTTAAAATCATGACTAGGTGTTGGAGCGCGAATCCGACAGAACGACCTGACTTCGCAACTGTCATGAAAGACCTCAACGAATTACTGCTGTTTAACCATGTTAACACAAATATAGCTAATTTGAATCTAAGTAGTCCAACAGCCTCATTTGTGAGTCGAGACTTGAGCGACCGAATATCGGTGGCAGAACTGAGAAGCAATTTCGAGAACACATCACCAGTGAATAATCCAAGTGAAACAAACGCCACGGTAGCTTCCGTGTCGAGGCCGAATTCGGGGAAAGTTCCATCTGCCTCGGCTTCTGTAAATGCATCATCTGAGCCTCAGCCAACATCGCAAGTTTTCTGTGACCTGAATAAGACGTTGACTCGGTCTCCAACTAACAGCTGCAACAGCACGAAATCTGATATCTCACCCTTGAACGAAACGGGCGGAGGAGACGCATCTCAGAGGTTCTTCCGAGCGACAGTAGCTACCACTAGTCAAGTGTTTGAACCCCGTGCTCCGACTTTGGCTGCCAGCGTTCCTCCATCGGATCCTGGTCATAGTCGTATTCCTCATCATAGTCAGCTACCTCAGACTTCGTTCATGGCCATGTCCAATGGTTACGTGTGTGACACTTCCCAGCCGAGACTGATGATGGCAGCACAGATGGCTCTAAATGATAATAATAATGACTCATCCACAAACAATCCATAGCTTTATAGAAGTACGTGTTCTTTAGATTAATTATCGCATTTTTTCAGATACTACCTTTTGACCTAATTTAATGTTCATTTCCAGTGTTTTCAATTTGATCCTGACTTTTTCAGAAGAACTGATTTAGGTGTTATCAAAGTAATACAGTGCTGACTTAAGTTATCCGGACAAAATGATTGAAACTTGAAATTTGATACACGCTTTTCTCAAACTGTGCTTAGAATAAAATTGATGAATAAAGAACTTGGTTAGAATTTCAAAAGAATTCATATGGTGCAAGTTATTTTGTAAAATTAGGGTCCAAAATTTTACCCCAAAAACGCAATTTTTTTGGCTATTTTTTTAATTAATCAAAAGTAATGCCAAAACTATATAAAAGTGATCTTATGTTGCCAAACAAAGTTTAAGAAGGGTATTAGACTTTGATAGTGTTGGCGTTATTTTTGATTTTCTTAAAAGGTGATCTGGTAGTTTTAGCGTAATTTTTGATTAAGTAAAAAGCCGAAAAATAAGAAGTTTTGCGTTAAAATTTTGGGCCTGAACTTTGCAAAACAAATTGCACCACACTAAGTTGCTAAAGTTCTTATTAAATTTATGAGTCTGGTCATTTTTTGCCTAAATTTCAGCCCAATGTGAGAAACACGCAATCTAATTTTGAAGATATATTTGTTTTTTCCTGATAATTTAAATAAGCACTGTACAGTAAGTTTCAATTGAAGTTGGCTAGGTTTCTTTTACTACGGTCATTTTTTTGCTTTTTTCCAAAGCCACGCGGAGCTTGTGTTATATAGCAAGGCGTTTTTTTTTCGCCACCGTATCACTTTTCAAGGCCAAACTTGGGGAAAGTTCCATCTGCCTTGGATTCATTAAATGCAACATCTGAGCCTCAGTCAACAGTTCATTGACCTGAACAGCTGCAACAGCGCGAAATCGGATATCTTGCCCTTGAATGAAACTGGTGGCTGGGTGTACGACTATTCAGGTGTTTTTTAGGGTCATGTTATCCGTACTTAGATATAACTTAGATTGTTTATAGTTCTAACGTTATGTAAACGTATTCATATAGATGTCTGATCTAAATTAAGTACCTATTAAACCTAACACCATATTCAATAGTTATTTATGAGTCTCTGTCGCTCTCATGATTTCGAGGTCAGATTCGAATCAGACATAACATTATCGATTGAATTTAAGTTGATAACAAACTCTTCTTAATTCCTATTTCTCTTACACAGTATGTCTCAACTCAGATCTAACCTATATACTCCGAATCCGTGGGTATAACATGGCGCAGCCAGCACTCACAAAAAACTCACTGGGTATCGCCCCATTCTGGCAGAAAGCCTCGGCGGAACCCCCAACCGAGTGGGAGAAATGGAACCAGCAGCTTTATTTAGGAATCGTCGCAAAAGACGGAATAAATCTGCAAAAACTATTACAAGATCCACCCACAGTACGGAAACCTCAAGAACCTGGTTATGAGCTCCCTATCGAGGGGGAAACGCAATCGCAAACTAGGGACCGGAACATAACGCAATCAAGAGAAAAAGATCCAGTGGGATAACCAGTGTGCTCAATTGGATAATTTGGGACCCACCGTGGATGGAATTCCATGGGAGGAAGCCGACATAAAAGTCCGAAGCTATATTTACCTCAGTCTCGGAAACGAGGGGCAAAGACGTCTCAGTCAACATTTCCCAGATTTAAAAATACAAGAAACATCAACGAGGGCATTTTAGAATAGATTAGAGCATCTTTTCATCAAAGACCGCAACGTGACGTTCGATAGATACGAAGCGTTCACCAGAAAGCAGAACAAGACGGAAACATTAGAGCAATTTCACTGTGGCCTCACGGAACTTGTCATTAAAGGAAATTTCAAATGTCCTAACTGCAACGATAACACTTTGGAAACCGAAATTATTCGAGATCTATTCACAGCGAATATGACAAATGATGAGGTACAAAAAGACCTACTGGCCGAGACGAAAACCCCCACACAAGCATTCGAATATGCAATACGCAGATAGAAAGGTTTGGAAAACCAGCTCCAAATACGCAAGCAAGGTTTCTCAACATTTTCTTCTCAGCAGACAGGCATCAAATCCGAACCAGTTGGGTTCATACAAAAACGAGGAGGGGACTCATATCGTAATAATAGACGGGGGAACAGAGGTCGAGGACAACCACAGCGGGGAACTTCTCAGCGACAAGGCAGCGACAGAAAACAATTTTGTTTTAAGTGCGGAAATCCGTTCGGACCCGGACATCTTCAACAATGTCCGGCAAAAGATAAAATCTGCAATAAATGCACGAAAAAGAGGACACTACGCCAGACTCCGTAATTCTTCAAACGTCAATGCAATCAGCGAAGAGCAAGATCCCCAACTAAATTTGCAGGATACAGATATAACAGCGTACGTCGATTATCTACAGGCAGGGGATGTCGTTCCGGGATGGGATCTCATCCATCCAAATGACCACAGCGTAAACGCAGTGAGTTTCCAAGAGGAAACGGTAGACAAACTTAAGGCGGATGACTTGAAAGGACACCTCATTCCGGTAAAGATAGGGAACAATTATATTGTTTTCATTGCGGATACAGGGTCTCCAACGTCATTTGTCAACAATAAAACAGCCACTACACTACAGAATACAGTGACAAAGGCAAGACGCATTCAGTTGAACCAAGATGACGAGGCAAATAGAATGGTATGTTATAATGGCTACAAAATTCCTACGTTCGGAAGGCTGATTGCACCAATAGAGTCAGGAGGTTGGACTATCAACACCGCCCCATTTATTGTGGTTGACGATAAACGGGCGAATATCTTGGGACGAAATCTCCTACCGCAACTAGGCATACACCTTCATCAAGAAAAACCAACTGGTAAGTCAATCAATTATATTGCTGACACAGACCAATCAGATCCAGTCATAACCAGTTGGGTAAAATCAACATATCCGGGGTTGTATACGTTCAAAAAACCATATGGTTCACACAAAATTTCTAAACGATTTCAAGGCACTTCAACAAAAGGGACGCAGAATTCCGATACATATTCAGGAAAAAGTTGAACAAAAAATCAAATCTCTAATTGATCAAGGCCATATTGTGAAACTTGATAGTTGTAGCGACAAACAGTTCATTAGTCCAATTGTAATAACTGTAAAGAAAGATCATACAATAAAACTGGCAATGGACTCAAAACAAATTAACAAAGCGATACATAAAAACAGTATCAAATGCCAAATATCCACGTACTCTTGGACAACGTAGCTCAATCAGCTCAAGAAGGTAATGGAAAACCAGGGACAACATGTTTTTCCACCATTGACCTTCGATATGCCTACAGTCAACTGAAATTAGATGATACAACTAGAACGCAGTGTAATTTTAGTATAATTGGCGGACAAGCAACCGGCACCTATCAATTTCAAACTGGATTCTACGGGCTCACGGATATGCCCACAGAATTCCAGAAAGCCATCGATCTAACTTTAAACAACGAAAAAGATACCTTCGCTTTTCTCGACGAAATCTTGATTATATCCCACGGAACAAAAGAACAACAAATATGGATAAATTGAAAAGGGTCTTAGACAAGTTAGATCAAGAAAATATGGCTATTTCGGTTAATAAGTGTAAATTCGGCTGTAATGAAGTCGAATGGCTCGGTTTTGTCATTAATGAATACAGAACCATACCGATGCACAAGAAAACTGACGCAATCACTAAACTCCACCACCCCACAACGTTCAAACAATTAAAAAGTTTTATGGGATCAGTCCATCATTTAAATAAATTTATACCAAATTTGGCTCAATTGTGTGCACCATTGAGACCACTTTTATCATCTTCCCCAAAATTCCATTACATTTGGGAACAAAAACATGATAAGGCATTTAAAACCATCCTTACAGCGGTCCAAAACATCACAGATAACCGACATTTTGTAAGTAATCGTGAGACAAGAATAGTGTGTGACGCAAGCCGCGATGCTATTGGAGCAGCGCTGGAACAAGAAACTCCAGATGGATGGGCTACGGTGGCATATGCCTCCAGATTTTTAAATACGTGCGAAACTAAATATTCAGTAAACGAGTTGGAACTTCTAGCCGCGGTATGGGCCATTGATCTTTTTGAATACTATCTGTATGGCCGCCGCTTTACATTAATTACTGACCACCAAGCTTTGATTAGTGCTCTAAACAGCAATAAAAGTAATAAAACATATCAGAGTCGTCTAACAAGATGGATTGACCGTCTTCTCCCATTTGATTTTGATATAAAACACCTTTCCGGCAGCAAAATGGGTTTGATTGATTATATTTTGCGCCACCCGGTGGGGAAACCACAACCCCCCCGTATTGGGACAAAAATTTCGTAGTTGCACTTATTGATGACTTCATCTCTTGCCTTGAATTTCAAGACAGCACTATAGCTAACATTGAATTGATCGAAAAACCAAGCGGTTTTCAACGCATGTTACAGCTCGACCGGAACGAAAACTTTCCTCGTTCAGATTCGCACGCAAAATCAACAAAATTCACTGTTAATAGTCCACTTCTGAAAAACAGTCACACTATTGAATTCAAACAGTTCCAAACATTTCCAATCAAACAGTTCAAACCTTCCCAACCAATCCACATTCAAGAAAGATCAAAAAGAAAAAACCTTCTATCGATAATCGTCACACAATCCAGCACTCCACTTTACACAGAGATGAACAGACAGTTGCAAACAGGGATGGCGCTACCCCCGTTTAAAAGAATTTTACGCAAATGCCACAAGGGACAGCAAACGACAGTAACAATCCCACCTACCAACTTTGCATCATTCACCGAGATCCCAGAAGAACAACCCCAACATCTCTCTCATTCAGCGATGTAATGCATCAAGTGATCCCGTCGGAAGATAGTTTTACTTTTTTTAAAAAGTCAGACCAGTTATGCCAAACAGACACTCCAGACCACCCGGCAGAATGTCAAGCCATCACTATGGATGAAGAAGACGTACCGCTGTTTCGGAAAAATCTGCGAAAAGCACTCGACGTAGACTTTATCGCGGCGGCCACAAAAC